GGTCCCATTTAAAATTTTTGGTCACAGTGGCCTTGTGACGTCATTTATGACTATTGCGTCACCTGTTATGACCAGTTAAGAAGCCTACATCCGTTTATTTCCACACTCCAAATTTCATTATTATAAGTATACCCGTTCAAAAGATACGAGGGGGGGAGGGGACTTTTGACTAGCACTGTATGCCTGAAACCATCAACTGTACCATCAATTTGAAAAATATAGAAAGTCTGCCCAATGTTCAAAAAAGGAGATGAAAGTGAGATAAAAAATTAAAGATCAATTTCTATCATATGAAACTTTTGTAAAGTGTTTGAGATGCTTCTTGAGAAGACAATCTACTGTCATGTCAGTAACATTATTAGCCCCAATCAACACGGTTTCATGAAAGGACGTTCAACCATCACCAATCTTGTAAAAATCATTCAATGTATTGCGGAGGGTATTGATTGTCAGTCTCAGACTGATGTCATCTACACTGATTTTTCTAAAGCGTTCGACAGACTTGTCCATAGTATCCTGCTCAACAAGCTTTCGACAGACTTGACCATAGTATCCTGCTCAACAAGCTTTCGACTTTTGGGTTATCTAATGAATTAATTACCCTCTTCAAATCGTATTTTTACAACCATAAGCAGTACGTCCAACTCAATGGCCTCAAGTCTTTCGAATATATAGCCACATCTGGTGTACCACAAGGATCAAACCTAGGTCCTTACTTTGATTGGCTTATTTTCGCCTTTTTTTAAATATTTTTTCTTACATCCAGCTGATAGTTACAATATATATTTGTAAATTTGTTAATTATTCTGTGAAAATAGGCAATGTTGTAAATAAATAAATGAATAAATTTTATTTATGGGAAATGTTGAAGATGAGACGAAAAACGCCAACAATGTTCAACGAGAGATTTCGCAACAATAATTCAAATCATAAATATATCCTGGAAGTGGTTGTTAAGTTTGGTAAAACTAGTTTCGTTGTTAACTAAAAAAAAAGGAAATAATCGCTGTGTTTTGGATAAAGCAGTGTAAACAGCAGTTTTAGACACCTTTATTGCAGATCCCTTCACACAATTTTGCATTTTGGTACCTACGCCATGTAGAAATGTCTCACGAAACAGTAAGGAAAGCACTGAAATTGAATAAATTTCATTCATATAAAATTCTTCAACTGCTTTATGACGACGATTTCATGAATTAAAAACAAAATATCATTCACATTATTTGCTTGTGCGTTTTTTCTTATTGGGTATGTTAAACAAAATATCCGCTACTGGAGCGATGAAAATCCACAACTATTTAGGGAAGATCATGCACAGTATCCATAGAATATTGAATAAGATAAGTCACTTTTTAATAATGTTTTATTGCAAAACACTTGATACTCCACGGTTTCACTTAATTTCTCTATAATCAAGTCTCCTTTCTATTTAATATTTCAGGGATTGTGTTCGACCCTGTTAGTAGGTTGATTTAATTTAATCAAAAAGTAGCCTACAAAATGTTCCCAATAAAAAAATTGACTTATTTTTGTACCTTTTCAGATTGCTTACAAGGGCCGAAATATGGAGGGTGGTACGATTCACACCCTGTATAATGAGGTAAGAGTTGAATGATAATTGATAAAAAAACATTTAGTGAAAAAAACTGAAATTTTGTCAAAATTCATCAATAAAACTTCAATGTGCCATTTTCAATGGATGAATACTTGATACAAGGGTTACTTGTTGAGTTCTTACAAAAAATAGAAAAATGTTCTATCACGTTTCAAAATATTTTCTTTTGAGATTGATAAACTAACGTTCAAACTAATCCTCGAAACATTTTTTTGTATTATCGTCTTCTTTTTCTAAAAATTATCTCAGCATATACCCCTCGCATATTAGGCTTAATCAATCAACGCTTTCTTATAGAATTATTTTATTTGAGATAAAAACCCTCAACAGAAGTTTATCGAATAATTATACACTCAAGTCGTTTGCTTAGCAAAATTGATTGATTGTCGATTATTATTTCTATCAAATCATATGCTCACCTTTGCGTCAACTTTTGTTGTGAATAAATAATTTCCAACGAAAAACATATCTTTTACTCCAGTGCTATATTCTCCATTTCTAGAAAAGTCAGTATATAAAATTGATGTGCTATTCGTTTGATTATGGGGTCCCTTCCACTGTACAACTAAGTGGTCTTTTCGATTATGATTAATCCAGTAAACTGAATTGACGAAGTCAAGAGAATTTGTAACCCTTTTTCCGAAATCCCGGCTTACCAACATCTGGAAAAAATAGTTTGAAGATTATACAGTGTCACAATTAAAGTGCGCACCATATGGCAAACTTTTTTTTCGAAAAGTTTCAATGAAGTTTAACTTCGACACTTGTTTGTGCTTTAAATTTAACTTAATTTGATGTGGCCAACTGCGACCCACTGACGTTCAGCGTTTGTCAAATTCAACTTTATTTTGGAAAAAATTGAAAAAGTGCATTTCTAGATCGAATTTAACAAAAAGTTACTCGAAAAAGTTGTGTGTACGGCAATTTTATATCCATATGTCAAATTTTATGCAACTAGGATAAAGTTAACGTTTTGTTTATTTTTGAAAGATATCCCCTTTATTTTAAAAAACAAGTTCGGTTAATTGTTATCAATTCATGTATACATAACAAACTCATCATGGAGTTTAACTTTTCTGATACATTTCAACTTATACGGACATTTTTAGAGAGAAATTAAAAATTTGCTATAAAAATTTTAACATGACTGGTGCAAAGTTTCAATCACTTGTCACCATACATTAGTTTTAAAGGAATACTGATCACCACATTCAACTGTGAAATTGGGATTTTCTTGGGCCCACCATCGGCAATTTTGAGAACTTACCGTTCCGTTTGAAGAGAACGTTGCCTCATCTGTCCATAACATTTTATACGGAAACTTTCTCTCCTTTTCTCTCCTTGAAACCAGAATGAAAACCCCAAACGGACATCAAAATCTCGTTTTTTAATGTGTTAATTAATTTTGGCTTGTAAGGACAAAATTTATTCTTTAATAAAATTTTTCTAACACTTTCTCTCTTGTAATCGGTATTTTTTATAATATCGGTTATGCTCGTTTGCCCGTGTTCAATAAATTTTAAACAAATGTTAAGTTGGACCTCCTCATCATACTTACTTGGAGTGTGCTTTTTCTTAAATTGATTTGCTACAGATCCTGTTTCTCTGAATTTCGATATTATCCTTGACATAGTAGTATGTTGAACATTTTTTCCTAGATGCCGTTCATTAAAAATGTTAGCTACTTGCCGGTATAGTGTATTCTCACCACATATTAAAACTATTTCTATTCTTTCCTGAAGAGACAATATTATTGCAACAATAACTGTAAATCAACAACTTGACACTACCATAGCATGCATTTTGTTTGTCAAGACCTACTTAAAAATGTTATTCAACGTGATTAAGCATCCTTACCGCCCTAGTTAGTGTTTATAAATAATCTGTAAATACTGAATATTGAAATTTTAATGTAATTTCAACTCTAGTAATTTTATTAATACTTATTGCAGTTTTTGAGTTGTGTCTGCTTTTTCAAAATTGAAGGTAATGACGTTTGTTTAAGAAAATAGCCAAGTGATTGAAATTTTGCACCAGTCATGTTAAAATTTTTATAGCACATTTTTAATTTCTCTCTAAAAATGTCCGTGTAAGTAAAAATTTATCAGAAAAGTTAAACTCCATGATGAGTTTGTTATGTATACATGAATTGATGACAATTAACCGAACTTGTTTTTTAAAATAAAGGGGATATCTGTCAAAAATAAGCAAAACGTTAACTTTATCCTAGTTGCATAAAATTTGGCATATGGATATAAAATTGCCGAAGACACAACTTTTTCAAGAAACTTTTTGTTAAATTCGATCTAGAAATGCACTTTTTCAATTTTTTACAGTGGGTCGCAGTTGGCCGCATTATTTTTAGTTAAATTTAAAGCGCAAACATGTGCCGAAGTTAAACTTCATTGAATCTTTTCGAAATAAAAGTTTCCTATATGGTGCGCACTTTAATGGTGACACTGATTAAGTTGTTGCGTTTTATACTTCATTTATATATTTAAAACATGAACAACAACCCTCAAAGTTGAACTTTTATAGGGTCTTTCAACAGGGACTTCCGAACTTTGACAATCAATAACCTCCTTCATGGATGAGGTTTAGAGGGCTACGGGCTACTCCCTTGATCGTTTCTGAGATTTAGCAGTAAGTACATCATTGATGTTCCAGAGTCAAAGCAAGTTTTATGGTGTATTCCTATTGTATAAGATCTTCCGGGACTTCCGGACTTTGACACGTTCATTATGATAGCAGTGCAGAAAATTTCCTGCATATGCAATTGGCAATACAACTGAAAGAGTCGACTTTCAATTTTGAAACGTGCACACTTGCAGACCGGTTTCGGGCTCATTAGCCACTCATCAGTGCAAGATAGTGGCCATCATCGATCTAAAGTCAATGATATTTCATAATTGAAAATCGAAATTCTTTCAGAGTATTTCATTCCTCACTCCATCTCGTGGACGAGGTACTAATCAACTGCATATCCTAAATTTGCCCGATTCCTCTGAATAAGGAAGAAAAACTTTCTTATCAGTCAGTGGGCTATGCTTGAAGACTGGCTGTAAACAAATCTAAAGAAAAGAACTTTAAACATTCAAGCCAGTCTCAGATATACCTACACAGTAGGTTGAATGGACCGACAGGCGTCAGTGCAGGAATCTTCACAGTAGGTTGGATATAATCCAACGCCCTTCGTAGTGTTAGCCAGGGGAATAGTTGTTTTCTGATAGTCGTCAGTCCATTCAACCTTTCGTGCGGGTATATCTGAGACTGGCTTAAACGTTTAAAGTTCATTTCTTTAGGTTTGTTTACTGCCAGTCTTCAAGCATAGCCCACTGACTAATAAAAAAATAATGAGTTCAATTTTAAGATCAAGTGGGTACAATGTTCTTTCCAGTTTGAACCAACGTCTAAAGTAATTCCTAGAAATGTAACTGATGAACTGATTCGATATTATCCATTATCATTCTTGAAAAATAAAAATAAAAATGGCCCCAAAACAGAGCCTTGGGGAACGCCCATAGAGACGTTCTTATATGCAATTTCAGTAGAAGATATACTAACACATTGTTTTCTGTGTGTCAAGAAAATTTTTATCCAGTCGAGTGAAACTCCACGAATACCATATCTGTGCAGTTTAGACAGAAGCACATCATGCTAAACGCAGTCGAATGACTTGCTGACATCACAGCAGGTTAGGAAGCCTAATAAAAATTATTTCAATAACTAGCTTGATAATTTTTTCGAAAATATTGTCCAATAAGGAACAATGATGGTCCCTTATTAAACAACACTTATTTTTGATGATAGGGTTCACACATGAAATTCCTGTCGAAAACATCAACATTTAGAAAACTTGAAAAATAATGTTTTAGTGGAAAGTAATTACTTGCCTCCGATATTTTGTCCAAAACCACAAAAGTATCAGGATCCATATTATAAAAGGATACTTCTTCTGGCGAGGACTTCAACTGCTGCGATTCAAATGTTTTTCCATAATCCCTTGTTAAATATATCCAATTATATGTTGTGTCGGTAAATATAAGCTAAAAAAATAAATAAAAAAGAGTAATGTTATATACGATACATTGAAATGAGTAAAAGTAGTTTCATTTCGGTTTAAAAAATCAACTTAAAGAAGTGATCTCTGTTATTGGTATTAGGCAATTCAGCTAGGATATAAGATTTCAAAGAAACATCATTGCGTTGAATTTTTACTCACATGTGTTTGGTTTCTGGGATGGCAATAAAATTTATTTATAATAGCATAACTTCCATTGGGCATCTTCAAGCTTTCTTTCTTATTGATGTAACTATCACCATTGTCATAGGATATGAAAACAGTTGATGAAGAAGTACTGAGGGGTTCCGGATCTCGAGCCAAACATATGACTACTTTACTTTTTCCACTAACCCAATGAGTTATCAACTGTTTGTGAGAATCATGTAAGTTATTTATCTGAAAATTAAAACTATAGCTCTACTAGTATACGCCTACAAAAATCCAGATAATTCATGTTACCCTCTTTAATCCTTCGTATAAAGGGGGCGCAAAAAGTGAAGAAACCCTGTATGAAGTGAGATTGAGAACTATTTATTAGTAGCCTTACATTGAAATTTGTTAACTAACTGACACTGAATGGTATTCCTTATCAGAAAAACTGCAATTTTATAACGATTTCCCAAATTTTATCAAGACCTTCCTGTTTCTTTTTCTTTTCGAGAAGCAAGATCTTTATTTGTAAATAAAAGTAGACTGGTTCATTTACTTCTTCGATAATAGCATGTCATGTTGTATAGTTTTATGTTGTTATTTATTATTTGGATTGGCATTTCCATAAAAGTTCACATTATAATCTAAATTTAAACATAAGTGTTGCAAAGTTCACGTTCAGTTTTATACTTTTTCCAAAAGATAACAATAGCGTTCATTTTTTATTCGATAAATGCAACTACAATACTCAAAATGCTTCAAATTTAGTACAGAAGTAAACACTCTATACGGTGTTATTATGAATTTCAAGTAATAATTCGAGTTACACTTACAATTGGCAAATAGGTAGGTATGAATCTAACAGTTTTGAATAATTAACTGCTATATATTTCGGTTTTTAATCCTTCATGCTCAATATAATTGTTGTTCTTCTACTAACGTCTTTAATAGCATTTCTTAAATTTACTGAATTAAACTCTTTGAATGCTAAATGAATGGTATCTTTCAATAACCTTGTTACGAAAAAGTCCATCCACCTTGAATCGGGCGAGTGTGATGGCCAATAAAACTGCCAGTGTCCCCCTATAACTTATATTACATATATTATGAAATAATCGTAAACCAGACTTTGACTGAAAGGCAACAAGAGCCCTAATAGGAAGAGAAGCCTTTACAACTAGTGATATCCTTTTCTTGAGTCAGAGTACGGTGGAAAAGGGTAGGACAACAATAGAACCTACTTCAAATTCGGAATTACCATCCATGGCAATCTCACAAAAAGCAAGCCATCAGCAGACAGCAACTCCAAGAATTGCATTCACTGAATACAATGTGAATGCGGCAAGTCCTATACAGGGTGTTTCAAATTCGATCCTCACCATTGAGATCTCGGAAACTATGAGAGATACGAAGATGGTTAATTGGGGCAAAGTTGCGCATTCACCTGACTAACAATATGCCGTTGAGTAAGTTCTGAAATTCCGAGTATATCCGGAGATATCTGGAAAAAACAGAAATTTTGGAAAATGTTTTTTTTTTCTTTATTTTTCGAAGGATTCGAAAATAAATTGCACTTCCATAATGTCACTTTTTCCTGCTACATAATGGTGTTTTCAGATTTGCTATCCGACGTTTCGTCTTCCGACCACTATCATCAACTTTATTTTTTGTCACGGGCGCTACATTGGATTCTTTCTGTTTTGAATTGAACCAGATTTTACCTTTTCAATGACGTATCATAAGTTATCATTTATTTTTTTTTTCGAAAGAAAAAAAAAATTCTTATCATAATAGGCTTTCCACTTTTATGTTTCTAAATTTGACTTTCTTTTTGGCGATAATAATCAGCCTGGTCGAGATTCATGTCTGGCAGACTCGACCTGCAAGAGTTTCTGCAGACCTTCAAGGTTTATTTTCAATTTATGAAAAATGTGAACTTTTTTTCATACTCGAAGGGTGGGGGTTGAAATTTTTTCTGACGAAAATGATTAACCTGGTCAAGATTCATGTCTGGCAGACCCGATATGCAAGAATTTTTGTCCTACTACAGGATTACAAGAGTAATGTCTACTGAGAACAATTTGCTGACCTGCAGACCTGCAAAATAGTTAGTCTAAATTATATGTAATCAAAATTAACCCCCTAATTTCATTTAAAAATCTCTGGTCATTCGATTTGTGGATTAACTGTTAAATATAATTCCAAATCTTGATTTGAACATGAAAACGTGTAGGTGAAAAAAAATATCAATGGAAATGTATTTTTGGTTTTGACCTATAACGCAAGAAAAAATAAAAACTAAAGTTCCGATTTTCAGTTTTTTTCTGATATTTCCGGAAATACTCGGAATTTTCCAAGTTTCAAAACAGTATTTAGTTGAGCGAATTTTAATTACCCTGTATATATTTCAATATTGGTTAGGATTTGCAGTAAATAATATAGAGATCAAATTTCATTTTTATGTTTCCTATCAAGCAAGATGAGCGACAAACACGGATTGGTACGTATAAGTTTGTTAAAGATATATTGGTATAGTATATATTTGGTTCGTTTAAGGTATAAATGCAAATCCTTCTTTGTTGCTCATTTTATTGTTCAAACAATAGTAACTCAAGGTGAAATCCTGTATTTTTTTAAAAAGTCTGACATTAATTCGGTTACACCTGTGTAAGTTGTGAGTTGTACCTTTATAAATCCGTCATTTGAAGGCGTAGGGTCAAAAGTAATCAAGTTTATCACATGGTCGGGGGAATCCACAGTCCCATGCAATGTTCTCCAGTCTTTTTGGAAATCCCCGCTCACAGAAGTGTAGCACACTAACCACAACCAAGCAAGTAATTTATACATTGTATTCCTTCGACAAGAGGATTACAACTGGCTTGAAAATCCCCGAAGACGGTGTTTATATGCAGTTTCGAGAAGAGTCAGCATATACGGGACTGATAAAGTCAAGGCCGGTCTCGACCTAACAATACAATGATACAAGGAATAAACAATAAACGGTTTTCTTAAAGAGGGCAGTGCAAGTAAGATTTTGAAGAAAAAGAAATTACTCACATCATAAAGTCATTAAGGAAATGGTCATGAAGTCATTACGGGAATAATAAATTTATTCCAATGTACGGGAGATGAAATGGGACAAATTTCAGGGATACAAAATGGTTTTTTACAATTTTCACAGAAACTAGATCGCTTATTAAAAAAAGAAAGGCGCTGTATTTTTTTATTCATAATGTTCAGTTCTTCAGCTTAAAATATACATGTGCTGAATCCAGAATCAACAGCGGTCTTGCTGTTTGAATAGTTTCAGATGGTGTAAAAAAATTACATTACTACGGAAACATTTCTAACAATTTTTATGCTTTTAGCTCTTCAACTTTTTTCTCTCCTAACAGGATTTTGCAATGGTATATAAAGCATCATAAAAAATAATACGGAGGCGGCGTAAGGCGTAGGCCACCGCTCACGGCCTCGCGCCTCACAGCCAAAAATTATTTAAAAAAAAGTATGTAACATCCAAAAGTACACGTCATGACTTTTTAAATAAATCATGAAAGTTACCAACCTAAATATAATCCACTCTTCGGCGTTTGAAAGTATGTGAATGAAAAATTGGTGAATATATTTCTTTTTCTGAATAACTATATTATATTATAAAATTAATTAATTAAAACATTTTCATCTTTGATGATCATTCGTTTTTATTATTTAGTCTGGCAACATTACTCAGCGTGAAGTATTATCGCGGTGAATCCCCGGTCATACAACTCGGGTCTTCCTCTTAATAGAAAGTCAATCAAAGTATCGCATGCAGACGCAGTCTCGCTTCATGTTCCTATATAATAATATCTGAAAGTATTTGATGTGAGAATAAATAATTGTGTTACATAGTTGTAAAACAAAAGCGCGTGGTTAATAAGTAGAAATTCGGATTCTGTCGTGAAGAAAAATAATAACATCTGTGTTTATTTCATAAGAATAAGGTAAGAAGTATTTATGATACTTACACTCATATTTTTATAATTTTCTTTACAAAACATTACATGACTAAAAATTATGTCTATTATTTGCTTCATATTATCGATTTATTGCGTTAGAATCCAACTTATTTTTTTCATTATGCGTATTTTATTGTATTAAACGAAGAAAAGAGAAAAAAAACTTTTTGTTTTTTACCACATTTATTTGTAACTGATGTTACTGCAGTTTCGTCCTATACGGACATTTTCAAACGTGTACAATAAGTTTATTGTATAAGTTTGACATTTTCAAATTTATACAATAAGATTATTGTATTAAAACTTATACAATAAGTTTATTGTATAATTTTGAAAATGTCCGTATAGAACGAAACTGCAGTAACGTTAGTTACAAATAAACGTGGTAAAAAACAGAAATTTTCATTTCTCTTTTCTTCATTATGATTTCCTACCACGTAGTAACGGCTACATTGGCTACATTTATTGTATTAAACATATATTACGTTGATTTGAAGGTGGTTGACAATGTTTCGTGGTGCATTTCATTAGTTTATGACTTCCATTGTGTAATATGATATAAATTGATTTGAAATCCCTGAAAAAATCTTTAAGAATATAAAAAGATTAGCTAAGAAATAACAATTATATTAAGCAAAAAAATTGAAATTACAATGAAATAAAATACAAGCAACAATTAAAAACTGAACTATTAACAAGGAATGAAAATTAAATTTTAATAACAAGAAATGAAAATTAAAAGATTCCAAGCAAAGTTAGTTCACGACGTTTCGATTGTTAGTATCCACAATCGTCTTCGAGTGATGACGGTTCAATTTCGAAGCATATCAAGCAACTGCGGCAATTGAAACGTTTGGAGATTGTAACCAAAGAAGACCACGGCAAAACTCGCAAACCAAAACACATTGTCTCAAGGTTAAAATACATATTAAAATATGCTATCGTTTAACTATACCGTCTGCCCAACAATTATTTTGGCTTTATGGATCTGTTAAAATATGTTTTCCCTTAACCAACTCTCAAAGATCGAAACTTGTGGTAATTGAGTATTAACGAGGTCTTACCTTTCAACTTGCGATGCCTAAATATTTGAAAGAATTATGTGCTTCACTCACGTGACAGAAAGGTTGATATAGTGTTGTGATCATGTTTGTCAGAGTTCTTGTTCCTTGACAAAGGAACCAAACAATAAGTAGGTAGAGATATGGCAATGGGAAAGTATTATTTTTTTTAATAATGGCTTACAAGAATGTAAACTTTCACGACCGGCGATAACTGTGTGAAAACTATTTTTTGGCCAAGCTCGAGAACCAACTCGGGCACTGCGACCGTTACTACATTGTCTGTCTACCGCAATAGTACACGAAACGTCGGGCATAATAACCTGCGGCTCACTGCCAAAAAGCCCGGGAAACACACGGCTTCCAGGAATTTGAAAGACAGTATTCATTCATACATTGAATAATTATCGTTTGAACATTGTTTTACATATACAGAGGTGCCCCATCAGACCCATACTGTAATCTAGACTGAATCAAACCGTAGAAACAGTATCTATCAAGCTCCAAATGACTTAAGTAGCACTGCCTAGTTTTCAGCAAACTCAATCTGTGGTTACCCAGTAAGTTTTTTGTCCATTCTTATTCCTAAAAATTTTTTATGTGACTATTCCAAGGTCCCACCACAAATTTCAAAGTGAATTAGATTCGAAATTAAGGTTATATTTTTTTGGAAAAAAGTTGACAAAAGTTTCTTTACATTATATAACAAACCATTATAGCCACAGTAATAATTGTTAGATTTTGCCACAGTAAGAATTGTTGAATCGAAAAATATTTGCAATATATTATTTTTATGATTCAGATGTTCATGAATGAAATCTAATCCTTGTTCTATTGCAATTGATGTTGATTTGTCATTCAAGTATCCATTTTGATTAAGAGAAAATATTTTGTTTTGATATATGAATTTAGGCATCGTATAGGCAAATTTCTCAATTTGACTTTGTATACAAATAGTTTATTAGCTGGTAGGTATCATTTTCAGATCCAAATTTGGAAAAACGCCCTTAAAAAAGACTAGTTCACAAGATAGATCAATGGGTTCATGTAAGTGATCTATGACATCTCTAAGAACTTTTCTATTTATATCGTCAATACCAGGTGACGTCTCTCAAGTGATTTTCATTACTATTTCCCTTATTTATTTTGGAATAAAATATATCAGGAAGAAGATGAATTGAGTTGTTTTTTCATTTAAATTGAAAACACGAAAAAAAAAACTAATTTAAAATAAGTCCAAAATATATTTATCACAACAAGAAAATACATAAAAATATCATCATAAAATATATAAAAATAACTTCTAAATTTCTCTATTTTCACCTCACCATAATAGAAATATTTAATAACAATACAATATACTCAGAACAGTGATTCTCCATCTGCTTCAAACAATAAGCAATGTATTGTTTATAACAGACACATTTAATGAACTGACAGTAAATGATTCCACCTTGAATTTAAATGATTCATTCAAAAAAAATATTAGAACATGACAAAATAGTTAAGGCTTTCGCGGCCAAGGTTTTCAGTGTCACTATTTTTCGGGTTTGAAGGCCGTCGATTTAGGCAGCCGTAATATCCAGTCATCAGAGATAAACTCAAGATGTATAAACCTCTGAAGGAGCTAGCCACCCGCGTCAGCGAAACGTCAGGAAGAAATTCCAAAAATCAACGGCCGTGAAACTCGAAAAATACTGACACTTCTTTGTGTATATTCTTTTTTTTTGTGAGTGACCTACAAAGTAAAGATACAATTAACAATGAAAGTGATATGAAATTTTTCCAATTTTATTATTAAGGCGACTTTTTCAACCAGGAAAAATATGTGCCACAGAAAACTTAATATGACAAAAATTCTATCATTATGGTCGATTGTCAAAATAGTTGGATTTTGTGTGTCTGAGATATCATTGTGTAAATCCATATACTTACATGCATGTTATGTGGTTCTGATATAACATGCATATAAAATGTATGTGAAATGTTTCTTATATGTATTCATTGATTTCTGAGACATTTGAAGGAGATGCAGTTATATGTAACTAATTTAAAATGAGTCCAAAATATATTTATCACAACAAGAAAATACATACAAATATCATCATCATAACATATATAAAAATACCTTCTAAATTTATCTATTTTCACCTCAACATCACAGAAATATCTAGTGAAAATCTCACAAGAGTGTTATTTTGAATAAGTTATAGATTTTCGTGCAATGAACTTTAAATTGATGATTGTTTTATTGTATTCTATTATTTTTAAGTTTAATTTCAATTCCTAATGGAACTATACGTTCATCCAGAAATACTTGCCTTATCATGAGTACTTTTTTGGCATTCCACAATTTTTATTCCACTAAAACTCTAGAAAACCTCTTAAACTTACTGAATAATTGATTACAAAAATGAGCACAAGAGAGCAGAACATAGTGACAGGAGTTTTCTAAAGTTCATTAACTTACCTGTAAACTGTGATGCTGATCTTTTGAGAAAAAAAGAAAACTTTTCTCGGGCACTATTCTGCATTTTTGTTGCAACAGATGGAAGAATCACCATTAGATTAACAATAATTATCACTTATATTAAATGTTATACTCCAGATACTTATAAACATACAACCATACCACACTTTAAATCTAAATAAAGGGATGTCCAAAATAATACTTACATGCACAAGCATGTAAAAATAGTCATTAGTAACTTTGAATATAACTATTTGCTCGAGGCTCATAGTACATAAACTTTACTTGTATAATTCATGATATGATATGTGGTATATTAAATTCTCCGAGAAAAAAAGAGTATTGATAGAGAGTATTATACCCTTGTTAAATCTATTAAAAACTTTTTATCCAGACTTTACATGAAGAGGACAAAAATCTCATCGAATTGTTTCATATTCAAATAATTGAAACAGTGTGATGTTTATTCGTAGATGAATGGTATCAAAATGTCTCCTGAAAATGTTTAAAAAATTGTAGTCGTGACCACAAAAATAAGTCCTCTCTGAAGATATCACAGAATTAGTCTGAAAAAATGTCAAAATCAGGAAAATTCATCAGGACCACATGTTTCTATTCTTCGCTTAGTGAGTAATTCCGGAATTTCATAATTTCAACTCTGAACTTGAAATTTTTGGTTTAATCTCGTAACTCTGACTTTATTCTCAAAATTTTGACTTTGAATTAGGAATTTTGACTCTGAAATCAAAATTATGATAGAAATTCTGACTTTGAAGTCAAAATTACGAGACTGAGGTTACAATTTTCAATTTGGGTTCGCGATTTCTAAATTTAAGTTGAAAGTTCGACTTATGAAGATGAAACCTGAAGTATGTGGTCCTGTTAGTACTTCTGTACACAAATAGAAGAATTCAATTCAATTCAGCTGAAAAGCTTTGGTGAAGTATTTTTCATCATAATTCAAAAATGGTAAAGTTTGAATTGATATCTATTCGTAATTATTATTTGCACTACGGTAAGAAATAATTTCAAATTTAAATTTCAAAGCAGAACTTCCATTCAAATATCTACAAATAGTTTTATTTCAAAGTTTTTCATATCTCAAAGCTGTTTTTCGAACTTACCGGGACATCAGTTGGCAAAACAACTATCACCAAACATTCTAAAATAGGAATCATAAATATGTGATTGACTCCTTTCCCTTTCATATACAGTCAAGGAGTTTGGAACAGCTTTCCGAAAATTTGAATGAAAAATTCCTTATCGGTTTGATTTCAGCTTCCATTTCAAAAAAAGAAACGCGGCTATTCTCAAGAAGAAAAATATCGCTACGAGCGCAAGAACATCTACCAGATAGCTGGAATTGTGCATATCCAACTCCTCGAGAGTAGTCTTTGGCTTTTTGAAGTGACAGTACTTGATGAAACAGTCCAGTTTGGGTCTGTCGAAGCCATAAGTGGCAAGGGCTGTGCCTTCAAAACCGTATCTTATATAAGACAGATAGGTTATCCATCGGAGATATATGGGTATGGCATCGAAGGAGACGAAGAATCCTGAGAAGAGTAGGAAAGGTACAGACATCACCGGAGCTAGAAACACTCCGTTCTGCAACAAAATATTAGCACGTTTTTATGAAAACCAAAAAAAAACCTGTTGAAAGTTTTTTATAGCAAATCTATCTGAGCCAGTAAACTGTATACTATCTGGAACGGACCCGACCCGTTTTCTGTAATGGCCGAAAGTGTGTCAGGGGCAGTTGAAAGAGAGATAGCATTATTTACGGTAACCTTTCTTTGTCATACTCAAGCAAATAAGATATGGTTCGACGCATAAAATATATTTCAGGTTTAAATTCAGATATTTCTGGGATAATATTTGTTCAAAGAGTGTAATATTTGTGAAGATTTACATTTACGTTGTTCTTCTGTGCTATTAGTTTCACTTCCTTTGTCGTGTGTGGTTCAACAAACGCTTATTTTGTTGGTGTTATTTGTTATTGGTAGTTATATGCTAAATAACAATGGTGATCTATTGTGTAGCATTTGGATGCAACAATGAGCATGGTTATCGCCGAATATAATATTTAGAATTAGATATGAAAATAATTTATTTATCAACATTTCAAACAAGGTTGAAAGTGAATTTTTATTTGTAACTGTTTTCCTTTCAGATGGCCAGATATCCTGAGATTGTGGATAAAAGCAGTTCGTAGGGAACACTGGACTCCACATACAAATAGGAAATTTGTGGTGAATATTTTCTTCCAACGGATTATGTAGTCAAACCAGAATGTATTCCTACATTATTAAAACCAAATGCTGTACCAACTGTATTTTCAAACCCTGAACACTTGTCACAAAAAATTGTTAAATCTCCCAGAAAAATACAAAAATGGTAAGACCTAGTATGATGTACGAAAGAAAAATATCTACGCCTGTTTTGGATGAAAAAAAAATATTATTTTAGGAATTTTCTGCCAAATATTTGAAGTGCCGAATGTATCACCACAGTAAATTGTTAAATTTAGAATTGCATGGAAAAAGTGCCACAGTAAGACAAAAAAAATTACAAAACTTATTTTGTTTAGTAGCTGTAAGATATAAGTCGAAGTAGCTATGTTTTGTAATATTAAATAAAAAATTTCTGATTTTATTTTCATTTCATTTACCAACTCCATGGAAAATAGTTGAAAATGTAAATATATTCAGAAACTTGCGTCAAAGTTCCATTAGCTACCATAGGATAGAAAGAGATGGATATCCGTAACATATGCGGGTTGCCTCACTTTTCGCCCAAGGCGGGTCCGTATTAGGTACATATAGTATACATTTCACTGATCTGAGCAGTCTGGCACTGATGGAAGATAATATCTCTTAACTACTATGGGGATGGTCACTTGCTTGGAAAAATTTTACTTTATGGGATACTCACGGATTTTCGCGATTTTTTCTGTGATGATACTACTTCTCTCTCTCTCTCTATTTTAGATGGTCGTTGCTTCCTATCGTCGCATATGACCAATGCTCCTCCTGTTGGTTAACAGGAGCTTCGTCGGGGGGCGCAGCGGTCTTACACAAAGCAATGCTGCCCCCCATTTTTTTTTAACTTTTTATAATAAAAAACACTAGTTTTTTTTTTTAACAAAAACAATTTGATTTTTTGAAGTCGCCTCCTACTTGAGAGACCTTTTGATAATTTTTCACATATATAGCCCCCTTTACGTGGTTATCCGAATCACCCCGGCCTGGATACCGGCGTGAATAAAGGGGGTCACTTATTCATCACTTTTTTAGACACTCCAATTTTAATACCACACAACACAAAAACGGAGCCCCACGATAGCACATGGCATCCGCGTACCTTCTTTGTGGACGGACGTTATCAGCACGTCCGTCCCCTACCACGGCCACCACGGAACTCCCGATGATACTACTTGATGGTAGGAATTCAGAACACTTTTTATTTTTTGTCGGACTCAATTACTTCTCCAGATATAGCCTGTCAAAGTTTGTATGATGTCATATTTTACCTTTTTTTTATTAAGCAATAAACGATTGCAATTCACATATTTTTCATTCAACAAATTTTTTTCCATATCACCGCGCTTTTTTCTATACCTTTCCATTCACTCATTGCCAAGTTTCTTGAAATTAGATTGAAATTCCATAATTTGTCACATGCTAACCCAGCCTAACCTAACTCAGTCTAACCTTACTTTAGAATTTAAAAAAAACTATGTTTCCTCAACATCTAACCCGACCTCCAGATTCTAAATGAAATGTATTTTCGAATAGTGAAACTTAATGCAATTTATAAAAAGTGATTTGTGTGCACCCACCAAACAAATTATGGAATTTTATTCTAATTTCAGGAAACTCGGCAATAAGTGATTGAAAAGGGATAGAAAAAGGTGCGATGATATGGAAAAAGTTGTGTTAACTAAAAAAATATGTGAATTGCAATAGTTTACTGCTTAAAAAAAAGGTAAAATATGACGTCATACTAACTTCGACAGGCTATATCTCGAAAACTAATTGAGTCCGACAAAAAATATAAAGTGTTCTGAATTCCTAACATTATGAAGTATCATCCCAGAAAAAATCACGAAAATCCGTGAGTATCCCATAAAGTATAATTTAGCCACTTGCTCTCTAATTGAATATTTAATGTAGATGTAAAAAGTGCCCCCCTCTGAACTTTTTAATAAAATATAGAAAAAGTTGACAAAGTTACCATGTTTCGATAATTGTTATCCACCCACTATTTTTGGCTAAATTTTAATTTGAATAGATGGTAGCACTTCTGGTGAATTAGTTTGTGAAATTGAACAGCAAGTTATCATTGTATTAAAAAATTTCACAATGTTCTAAAAATTTAAAATTGAAAATTCACTTCATTTTCAAAAGTTCCCAATGTCTAAAGATGCCCCTTGTCATTAAATCGCTAGTGAATAATGATGACGTTTCATTTTAATATATTTTGGGAAAAATTTGGTCTGTAAAAACATCACAGAGTTTATTTTTAGTCCTGAAATTTCAGAATAATACCATCTGATAACCCACCTGAACATTCATAGCAGCTCCTACCACTAGTCCAACGCTCTGGGCAACAAACGAGACTAGTAAGCAGGCCAACAAAAACATTCCATACCTCTGCATATCAGGAGGTTGTGCCGTCATGTAGTACACGATTGTTACATAAGCAATGCAAAAGACTGTCTAAAAAACCATAACAAATTAAATTTCAAAAACATTAGTGAACTTCAATATTTACCTGAAATGGCATATCGGATATAGTGATGGCTAAGTAATAGGACCTCAGGGAATACCAGCGATTGAAATGTTCCTTAAGTAACACAGGCATCTCCAGGGGAAATGAAAGAATGGTAATAGTCATCGAAGTGTACATCAGGAACAACATGTTGAAGAATAGGAATCCCAAATTACTCAAGACTTTAGCACCGTCGTTACCAATTTTGAAGTACAAGGCGCCAATTAGAACTCCAACCAGCAAATGGGCAAACAGACGCAGATACATGAGCGTCTGAAAATGAAAGAAATACTGAAAATATTCTGGTTATCAAGCCAATGGCATCATAAAAAAATTAAATATGGGAGATATTTTCTTTGTTCTGAATAATTCATCATATAGATTTCGACATTCTGATTGAAACTGTCGTTTCGGTCTAAATAATAAACATAACTGAAAACTTGTTGAAAGCACATAACTTCATGTGGCATTTATTATGATATACAATAGAATTTTGAAGTACTTAAACTTTATATTATTTTTTGAATAAATTTGCGTATTTTGACACTTTGATGCAATAATAAACCTTCATTCATATCCATCAAAACTGAAGAACATAGTTCAATCTTAATATTAGTAATTTATCGTGACTCCATCAACAGAATCACTAACTTTCATCAAACTTGAACAAAGAAACAAGAAACTTGTTCAATTGATTACCTATTTATTTTGTAGAATTTCATAATGAATAGAGGATAGGGAAGATATTTTTTTGTTTAATTTCTACTAAAATTGTTATTTGTTACGACCCGTTTTACTTTATTGAACCATTCTTTATTTATTAATCTAAATATTCTTCTCACAGTAATAATTTTTAGGTCAACTACTTTGTCTCTGTCTATTATTAATAATAATTAATTGAATACAGAAATTTAAAAACCTGTTTTCTCCAATTTGTTTGTTTAGTGGACGTTCTGGTAAAACTTTGCATATGCTGGTTTTGTTTGGTTATATTAGGCATTTGTATATCTTTATACAAATATATTGCACCTGGTAAAACAAGTATTTGAATGCTTGGCTTGAGAGATCAACCAGTAGCTTAGAGGAAACTGGAATTGGTCCTAGGTTAATTCAGGTTAAAGCATTTTCAATATATATTTTCATAGATCATTTAAAGAAAATATAATTATTAGTCTACATTAATTCTACCATCAACTATAGAACTAATATAAAATTAAAGTTTTTCAGCTTTATATTTGAATATAAAATTAATTTCAACTTGAATAAATTAAGAATAAATTTATTTTTTTATTTTTGGATAATTCATAACTACATAGATTTCATCATCAGGGTTTGAGTGACTTATTGTAAAAACAGAAATCTGTTTAAAAAAAAATCTGTTTTTCCGTTAATCAGCTGTCGCCCCCCTACGAACGACAACTCTCAGAAGTTGAGAAACTTGTGCCAGCTAAGGACTAACGAGGTCTTACCTTTTAACGTGTGATTCCTAACACGAAAAGTGACAATACATATATCAAAACCAATTTTCTGTCAAAAAATTATGCAATCAACTTTGTCGATAGTATTAAAAACTGAACATTTTTAAATTCTATGTAAGAAACAACAATTTCTAATAATATTTTTTCTGATACAATACATACCAAAGGACCAAACTTTTTAAACAGCCTATAACAATATTATATATCCCAAAAATATCAACCAACAAAAATTATTGAAAAATGACTCACCCAATCTCTCATACTGAACAACAGGGCTCGTTTCAGAATTATGAAAAACTGCTGAAATTCAGAGTTACCATACCTAGGCTGTTTCACTGGCATCGCATTATTCAACAACGCAGAATTCACATTTACTTTTTCCAATTCTGTACCATCTGACACAGCTGCCTTCAAATCGTGATTGTTGTAACTGTCACTGAGGATATTATTAGTACCGTTAGAGGAATTTGAAGACCCCTTCGCTAACTTATTGATGATTAATGAATTCAAATTATCTTTCTCAAATTGCTCAGCATTATTCAATCCATCATTGACTTTGAATTCTGGAAAGGGAAGACCTTCTCGAATATCGTGCTTCCCGTTATCAATAGCGCAGACTAGCTTCCTGGTGTGATCTCCGTATTCTCCGCAAGCAACTTCGATTATGTATGAAGCTGGGTTGTGATAAGCCGGACACTGAAGACCTAAAGAACCTAGGAATGGTACCAACTGGTTTGTAGACCCTTGGTAGACACACTGCCCATCAGCAAGAGTGTATAGCTGGTCGAACATCTCAAATAATCTGGCAGAAGGTTGATGAATTGTGCAAATTATTGTTCTTCCACCTACAAAGTTCAATAATCATTAACAAACTAAACGAAGATAATTTTATAAACTATGAATTAACTGCTATCACATGCAATTTCTTTGAATTTCCTTCACTCACTCTGTAAATGATTCTCCTGAATTTTACAAATATGAACAGCATTTACCTTTTGCCAGAGTCTTCAAAAGAGAAATACACTGGAAACAGGAAGATGAATCCAACCCGCTTGTGGGTTCGTCAAAAAACATAATGGGAGGATTGCTGACCAGCTCCAAAGCAATTGATAATCTCTTCTTTTGTCCACCAGAGAGACCACTAGTCATTGTTTTCCTGTGGTCAATTAAGCCAAGAGTGTCTAAAATTTCGGTGATCTGAAACAATGTTGTTGATAATTACCACTACACATATTTCTTTCAGAGATCTCAAAAAAACTGAGTTTGTCTTCAAGAATAATAATATAGGTACATCACTTTAATATTGTTAATTTTATTATTATTATTTCGAATATGATACTTTATCGTTATATAGGGGAGCCAATCTAAAACAAAATAGCTGTTATAAGGAAGTGTGTTAACGATTTATTTGCGGCATTAGATTCTTAGAACAGGCAGCATTGACTTACCGCCACTGTAATCAAATTTGTAACCTACCTTTTTGTGGTTATACCTAAAAAGTACAGTATACAGGATAGGGTGTAACTGAATAAGTGTAAAACATTCAAGGAGGTGATTCCTCATCGAAAAAAAGATAGGATCTTTCATATAAAGAAACTTCATTGGAGCATCCCTTGTTAAGATACAGCCCCTTAAAGGGGGTTCATAAAATTTGTATAACAATTTTTTTTACAAGCACTGAGAAAGTTACAACAGTGAAATTAACCTGACGTTTTGTACTACCAAAAAGACACTCAGCCAGAAATTTATTTGGTTAACCCCATGGTTGTAAGGGGTGGAAAACGCAACCCCTGAAATTTATTCCCAATGTAACTTTTTGTCTTATTATTTGTTTACCATTTAAAATTTCATTTCCGATAGCCTGTTTCATTGTAAACAAAAAATGTCTCTTGGGTTTTTTGCCCAAAATAAACCAGTTCGCAGCAAAAAATTATTTTAGGAACAACTACAGAGATACATTGTCATAAATGCAAACTGGATTTATTGTTATTTTGTAGATAGTACCTGCATTAAACGATTAAAGGGTAATAAACAAAACTAATTTATCAATAACAAAACACACAACATGTAGAAATCATAGTAAATGTTCAATATATCTACCATCAGAAATTACGCATGCGTCTAGACGTCGGCGCATTGAGCCACGTATTCGCTCAAATATTCCTGGACTATCTCTGATTACCCTGCATGTGCTACTTGACTAAAATGGGCGGAAGCCCCATCATGCATAAAAAACATATCCCTTCTGACGCACAAAGAAACTTCCTCCAGCAGTACTGGATGCACTTCTCTTAAAAATTGAACGTATGCCTCACTATTTAATCGAGGAGGTAGAAAATGAGGCCCAATTAAACCATCCCCAATAACTCCGAGCCACACGTTAAGAGAAAACTGTTCTTGATGGTTAGTTTCGACAATAGCGTGAGGGTTTTCATCAGCCCAATATGAAAATTAATAATCTTGTCCCGAGAAAAACTACATTCGTCTGCGAATTCTATCATCTTCAGAAAGTCACAATTTCTTCTAATCATTTCCAGCATCCAATTGCAAAATTCAAGACGGTTCGGAAAGTCTCGCGGTAACAGTGCCTGTACTCGTTGCAGATGGTAAGGGTATAAGATTTGTTCCTTTAAAATTCGAAATACCGTCATATGATCAACATTTAGCTGGAAAGCAATCTTTCTAGTACTGGTAGTAGGTTGTTCTTCGATCAAATTAAGTACTGCTTCCTCAAGCTGTGGTGTTCATACTTCTCGATGGCGACCACAATCCTGCGTTCTTTTGTCGAATGAACCATATTCTCGTAATCGTTAATGAAGTCGAGCAAATATTCTATGTGAAGGATGCTGCCGTTGAGGATACATTTCAGCATAAACGTAATGCATATCAGCCATTTCCTCATTTGTGTATGCCATTTTAATAACAAGTGAATTATTAAAATAACAAATTAAGAACAGAACAACACACAATTAGTATTAATTCAATTTCGAAAATTCACAAACTGACAGCATCAAATCAATTTCATTGTCACTATCGCTAATAGCGACCTACTAGATAGATTAGTTTCATATTTTCGCATTTATGACAATGTATATCTGTAGTTGTTCCTAAAATAATTTTTTGCTGCGAACTGGTTTATTTTGGGCAAAAAACCCAAGAGACATTTTTTGTTTAGAATGGAACAGGCTATCAGAAATAAAATTTTAAATGGTAAACAAATAATAAGACAAAAAGTTACATTGGGTATACATTTCAGGGGTTGCGTTTTCCACCCTTTACAACCATGGGGTTAACCAAATAAATTTCTGGCTGAGTGTATTTTTGGTAGTACAAAACGTCAGGTCAATTTCAATATTGTAACTTTTTTAGTGCTTGTGAAAAAATTGTTATACAAATTTTATGTACCCCCTTTGAGGGACTGTATCTTAACAAGGAATGCTCCAATGAAATTTCTTTATATGAAAGATCCTATCTTTTTTTCGATGAGGAATCACCTCCTTAAATGTTTTACACTTATTCAGTTACACCCTGTATAGAACACTATCTAAAAGAGTAGCATCTTCAAAAGATTTGCGTTGGACAAAGAATTATCAATGAATGCCATGGAATCACTTCGTAACTGCTCGCAATGTGAGAGAATATTTCAAACAAAATCTTTATTATGTGGGCGAGGTCGGTAATCAAACTGAACATTGAAATTACTAAACAATAAGTAAGCAGCTGAATACGATTGTAAATTTTTGAAATTCTTGAAGAAATCGACCAAAAAATTACAGCACAAAATTCCTAGAACTTGAGGTACAATTAAAACAATTTGGTTTATTACAAAATATTTATACAAGTTATTTATCACAGCCTTGGCCTATCATAGACCTTGAGTGTTTCAAATTATATTGTAGACCTTGAATGTTTCAAATTATACCTATTATATCAGTGTCATTGATAAAACGTTTCATTACATTGTATTTACATTTTATATACTTCATACTTTATGATGATGAAATCAATCAATTAACAGTAATTCTCGTTTGTTCTGATTTTTAATCAAGCGGTTTTTTCCTTGGTAAATACCACCAAGAAAAGAAGATTGACACTATGAAAAGTAAATAAACTGGAGGAGTTTTTTAGGGGCAGCATAAGTATTTCACTAACAAAGAGTGACTAATTTTTGTTTTTAATAAACATACTTGGAAACAAGGTCCAATAACTTGCTGAGTGTTTGAATTTTGATATCATTTTTGTGAATGTTTGAAAACTAGTTTTGAGATATTAGGTGTTATCAGTGGAGATAAAGATAATGGAAAGCTGACCCCTCAATCACGCAAAAAATCAGATATTTCAGTTTTTGAAAGTGATCATTTCCTTCAATGCATGAAACAATGGAAAAGTTGAAGGCTGGACAGCTTTTATTGAGTTTTACAGTGATTAAATGTTTATCTACGCAAGCTCAGTCATTATGAATATTTTTGATATGTAATTATAATTTTCGGAACCTAATAATTTTGAGATGTCTCACATGAACAAAGTTTTTCAAGTTTATATTATCTTCTTCAGGAAGTAATCTAAACATCTAACACGTGCATTTCACCAAACAAGTTGGCATCAACAGGAGATGAACTAGGTATATTAATTCCTAATTCTAACTTGCCTTTTTGTCTCTCTTTGTTTCAAAAGTGAATCAAAGAGAAACATCAGATTTGTCTCTTGATGTGAGAGTTCTCCTGATTTAAAAATAGTACCCTTGATAAAAAAATAAATCCAAAACCATTGATGCTCCCACACAACCAACACTGCAACACCCCTCTCAAAGAGTTGACCTCAACTTTTAGGCTCATTCTAATGGATCAATAAAAAACTATATTATTATTATTTATTTATTATAACTTGATTGTTAAGTAACCAAACATTGGATGCCATCAGAAAAAAATTGGAACAAAAATAAAACACATCATTGTCACTCTGTTGTGGAAATCAAATAGTTTGTACCAGGATTATTTATTGTATACCCGATGATCATTCATGGTCATTCTGTTTTTCCTTGTGGAAAGCAAATAGTTTGTACCAAGATCACAGTAGAATAATACAACCTATCTTACCACGTGATCCGCCCGAGTTGCCGGGGACCTTCAAGCGCTCTTAGGATGAGATTCTCATCCAACGCGTTCAGTGCTGTAGTATCGAAGGATATGACAGTACCACGTACGTCGGATTAGTTAAAATAAACAGTCGGAAATTGATATTGTGTTTAGTTTATTCGATGTTATTACTTTTAGTTTTTGTAGTTGGTTATGAGTAATTTACCACAGAATATTCTATAATAACCTTATATGGTAAAAGAACGAAATTGGCTCCTCACTTCGTTTCGAGGTCACCGATAACTTTGTGAATTTATTAATGAAAGTAGTGGCAGTGGACTTTCTGGTTGATTTTTACTATGCCAAGATTGTGTATTGTATAACCGGTGCTGTAATTATATGCAATACAAGAAAAGGGTATATAAGTTAAAGTATATAGTGTAATATGTAGTAAAATTTGAATGTATACAGAGGGAAATAGCTATGGATGCCATATTAGCAAGGCAGCTGCACTATGCTACTATTGGTATGATTCATTTACCAGCAATACACTTAAAAAGAAAAGAAAATTACTTAGATTTATGATAAATATCAACCATCATGTGTCACCTTCATAATGGAGTCTTCAAAATTCAGGTTTGAGAAACATACTTACAACTGCTTCTCTCTCATGGACTGGCTTGTCGCCGATTTTAAGCTTGGCCGCCACACTCATAGCTTCGTCCACCGTCAAATTTGCGTGAAGTTGATTGTCTTGCATAATGTAGGCAGATAATTTTCTGAATTGTCCCAAGTCTCTGTCAGCATCATTCATTAAAATTTGACCACTCATTCCTTCCGTCCTATAAAAATTTCATTACGGTGATGACAGTTTAATCAATTGATTCGACTTAGCGAAGAAGAATAAAGAGAAGCAATAGTTGTTGATAATCTGAATTCATCTCAAATTTCCTAAAAATTAATCTCAACGAAAGAGGTATGAAAGTTGAAACAGACATTGACTTTGAATTTATATTATGAGAGTTGAAAAGTTAAAATTATTGAAAAATACATGTTTGTTGATATCCCAAACAGGCATTTCATGACACAAATTCAATGCTCTAGAACAGGGTTTCTCAAAGTGGGGTTCACGTTCCACTGGAGGTATGTCATTGAATTACAGGGGGTATGCGATTAAAGTTACGTAATGGCGGCAGCCATGGGGTTGGTTCTCACATACAAGTAATGTTTTTGTTGCTCAATAGCAAATTATGAGGACTATATCTGATGTTCCTCATAGAATAAATAGTAGGGAATTATTCAGAAAGCGTACACATAATATGTGTGTACATAACAAGAACACAAGATTAAAAACATATTTTCAAATTCCACTAATGAAATTTACGGTATGCAGATAACCAAATAGTGCAATAAACTACCAAATAATTCGAAATCAAGTTTGACTTTGGAAGTGTTTGAAATGAAATTGAAACTTTCTTTCACGGAATATTGTTTTTACTCTGTTGATGATTTTCTCAATCTGTTGTTGACTATTCCTATACAATCAATGATTGTCAGGAAAGAGATTCAAGATTATTATTATTATTACACAGAGTGACTAATTTAAAATAGAACTATCTTTAAAAAACATTGGATAGACATTTGAGAAGTCTACTAATATCCGAATTTCATGAACGAGTCTTTGATTTCAGGTAATCTTTTTTATTTTTCAATGTTAAAAATCGAAAAAAAATTATTAGCAAAGTTTTGAAAGAATTTGACCACACCACAAGATTCACGTAGTTTTGAAATGGTTTATGTCAAAATTACATCAAAAATATTAAAAGAGAATAAACTTTGAAAAATATCAATTCAATTTTAGAACTGTCATTAAAATTCTGACTACTCCACTGGATTCAGCAGGTTTTCGTTTATCAGTGTTCATACTTTCATCACAATTATTGCTCACTTCTAAAATTTTGAGTCAATGTGTGCAAGCAAGTAATTTGACACCCTTTGAAGCAGACGAAAACCAAATATTACTTACTTGTATCCTGTCAGAATATTGAGTAGAGTTGATTTTCCAGCACCTGATGGCCCCATGATGGCACACAACTCCCCTGAACGTATATGTCCGCTGACATTTCTCAAAATAACTTTTTCGGCTGAAAAAAATTTAATCTACTCATAAAATATACTTTTAAACTATTACAGATTCATAGAATCTTACAAACAGTTAAATAAAATTGATGGAAGGCTAAAATTGTATAAATATTTTGAAATCAATATTCATCATCTATTAAGAAAGGCGACAACCAATTGATTTATAATTTAATATTGGAATTGATGTATTTGAGAGAAATTGTGACAAAATGTAACGATGTACTGTGTTACAAGTCAATCTAAAAAATACTTCAAATGCTCAATCATCCGCATTATTCTTTAGATTTTACCCTTAGCAACTATTCATAGATTTTAAAAAAATCGCCCAAAAAATGTGACTTTGAATCAGAGTTGGACGCCGAAGTTGAAGAGTTGGACAAATCTTCCTTTAAGAAAAGCTTTGTATAAAAACTCAAAAAAAAATTAGCAAGCTGTGCTTTTTATGATATCAATGAGTTGATTAAATATACTTATCAGTGTGAGTTTCTAACATTTTTATTTTATAGCGTCTGTATGTATTTTGAACAGTTCTTTTCACCAATCTGATAAATTTATATGATGTCAATTATTTGAATTGCACAACCAAAACGATTTTTTTTTGTATCAGATCGTCACCTATAATAAAAAGTGGGTCCTCTTCGACAACAGGAGAAGTTTGGGGCAGAGGTTGGACACCAATGAGCCAACCAGGCACTTCCAAAGGTGAAAATCCACCAAAAAAAGACCATGGGTACCGTATGGTAGTTAGCGGCTGGTGTGATTCACTATAACCTTCGCCAATCAAAAACAGGCAAAAATGGCCTTATTCGACTTCATCGAATCCCAAGCACACAATTTTAATGCAGAAGGAACTAACTGAACTGTGTTATGCTGGCAAACGTGCACTGAATCAAATGCAGCTTATTTCGATTAAATGGAATATGTATTTTCCAATTTTCATTTTTTAAATCTAAACAGGACAGCTGCATAAATACTCAATTGATAGAATATACGAGGTATGGCTATTAAATAACGAAACTGCACGTCTAGAGGGCGCCCTAAAGGGGTGGGGAAAAAACGAGTAGTGCATTGGGTATCTGGAAATCTCTATTCAGGTACCAAAACACGTTTTCGTCACTATAACAGTATTTGTGCAGTAGCAGTTTGAAACGAACGTGTTTATTTCTCGTGTCGAAAAACATGTGTGACGAAAAACAGGAGCAACGTATCAATCTCTAATTTCTTGTCAAATTGAAAAAAACTCCGACTAAGTGCTATAAATTGTTGCAAGAGACCTATGGGAACAATTCTCTATCTCCTGCGCGCGTTTTGGAGTGATGTAAGCGCTTCAGTGCAGTGCAGAGCAAGGATGTCCAAATCAAAATTCAAGGCAATGTGGATATGATGCACTGTTTGGAACCTTTGGTGTAGTAATGAATATTACTGGAGTATTTTCCCAACACCAAATCGTTATTTTTAACACCTCGACACGTGTTTCGATCACCAAGTGATCATCTTCAAAGAGGAAGATTAAGGAAGAGGAAGATTAAAACAGTTTAATGTTTCGATCACCAAGTGATCATCTTCAAAGAGGAAGATTAAAACTCATCTTCCTCTTTGAAGATTAAAACTCATCTTCCTCTTTGAAGATGATCACTTGGTGATCGAAACACGTGTCGAGGTGTTAAAAATAACGATTTGGTGTTGGGAAAAAACTCCAGTAATATGCAAAGTGGATAGTTTTTTTTCGACATTAACGGTATCATGATGACTGAATGGGTTCCAGTGCAAGAACAACTCGTGGATTTTGCACCAGGACAACGCACCAGCCCATAACACGCTATCTGTGAAGCGAAATTTGTCCGATAAACGCACTCCAGTGCTGGAACACGCGCCCTACTCGCCAGATTTGGCACCTTGCGACTTTTTTGTGTTTCCGAAATCTGCTTTGAAAGGGACAGGATTTGAGTCGATGGAAGCAGTAAAGCAAAAAAACGGTAGGGCTCCTACAGACCCTCACCAAAGAAGACTTCCAGCACTGCTATGATCAATGGAAAAAACGTATGGAAAGGTGTGTGGTGAGGGGAGGGGATTATATTGAAGGGGAGCATTCGAATGTCTCGTTATTTAATAGCCGGACCTAGTATTATAGTAAACTTCGCCAATAGGCAACCAGATCATGAAAATACTTTTGTATTCCTCTAGTAAAGACAAATACTTCTGAAATTGTTGTCTTCATTACAGTTATCAAAGTGTTCACAGATTTAACCTCAGAAATAAAAGCTACAGATTCTATTGAGCGTTACAAAAAAATGTGAAAGAAACATCTGATGGAAGAATGCAATAAAATTTGACATTATTTTATGATGATATTATCTATATTGCTTTTTATGCATTTTAGTCCTTTTGACTTTGTTGAAGTGTATGTATTGTATTTTTAGGTATTTTATCAATTTGTTTGGTTAATACATGTGGGCACCAGGAGACTAGGTTTATAAATAAATTTGAGTTTTTCCAATGAATGAGTTGTTATATGGTTCTTGCCAGGTCTTTTTGAACAACCTGTTATAACGAAATCTTGTATTTGAATAAAAATATAGGAATATTTACAATGAATAATCAAGAAAAAAAAACCTAATATGTGAATGCCCACAATTACGTTTTCTATGTAAAGCAAATCCTCGAGAGTCTTGCAGACCACTGTTTAAGGAAAAGAAAATCAATTTTTATTATTGAAAAAAATCAAAATCGGATTTCAATTAACGCAAACGCCACTCGTCAAAAAAACAACTTCAATTTGCCCATTCCAAAATATTCCCTTATATTATCAAACTCTTTCATTTATAATGGGTTGAAAATATTTATTCACCTTCCATCCCATGTAAAATGCGCATGCCATAACAGGAACTTCAGGGAAGTTTTGAAGGATTTTTTTGGGGGGAGCCTATTATAATTTATCAGAGTACTATCAAGATACCTTGTTTGGTATCTTGATAGTACTCTCTTGACTTGTGTCTGACTCTGAATACATTTCATGTAATCAATATTGGAAATTTTTAACACACATTCTTACTGGCTATTTTCCTAAAGGGTTGTATTGTGTTATGTGAATACAAACTGTTTCTGTTATGTTTCTCTGTCCTATTTTGTTGTGTATATATATATATATATATATATATATATCTATATATTCAGCATCTACTTGAAAATGTATATTATTTTATAGTTATATGATGAAAAAAATAAAAATGAATAATAATGCAGCAACCCAAACAACCCAAGATTTCGCAATGTCTTCATATAAACACATAATTCAGGGGAATTGGGTAATAATAAAAGAAGTGAAATAATATGACCAGTGTGGAGGCAGTCAAGGGCTTTCCGCCACGAATTGAGAGAATTTACCGATAACGGAAAAGAGTGCGCTGAACCACCATCGGTCATTGCAATTCATAATTAGCCATGAAATTGTTTTCAGGACATTCGTAACATGAAAAATATAATAGATAAATAGATAATATAATAGAATAGAAATAATACAATAGATAGTACCTCGGCATGTCTTATCACTTCTACAAAGTCCAATATTTTTTCTGGAAAACTTCTTTCCCTACAACTCTTCATATTATTTTGATTGAAAAAATAATCTCATGAAAAATGGCACTGTGGGGATATTTAAAAAAAAAAGTATTCAGCATGTTCCATAACATCTATATAAAATTTCATTTTGTAGCAGAAAATTACACCCTTGAGTCGAGATCCCAAACAGCGCTATTTTTTTAGAACATTCAAATCAAATAATAGGATGAAGTTTTCCGTGACAAAATATAGTACTATGTAGAAGTGACAAGGCATGCTGAATACTATTATTCCTTGCAAAAATATCTTTGGTCATAGTTTTCCAATCATAATAATTGTCTGAATTGATATTAATTTCAAGTATTGAAAATTTATAAAAAAAAATGAATTGCCTCTGTGGAAATAAGGTATATCATTATCTATTTTTTTATTTACTTTTTATTTACCGATTTCATAACTGGCAAAAAATGAAAATGTCCTAAAATACAACTTTTTAAGTCTAGTCATGAAACGAATGATTGAGAAATTTTATCATCAAAAATTGAATGTGAACACCTACAAAATTCGGATATGTTATTGCTGATAACCGATTTGACAAAAAAACTTCACATCAGAGTTTTCCAGGCCGTCTGAGAAGGTGAAAACTTTCAAAAATATTTCAATGAATCTAGAATGTGTAAACCTACAACATTGAGAATTGTTATTTCTAATGATTGAATCGGCGGAAAAAACTTCTCTTTGGAGGTTTCCAAGCCGTCTGAGGGGGCGGAAATGGGGTGGAAACGTTTTAAAATCATATCATCGCGAATTGAACATGTACACCTACAAAATTGAAATATGTTGTTCCTGATGACCGATTCAACAAAAAAAATCACGTCAGAGTTTTTGGAAATATGTTGGAAAAAAAATTAAAAATTTAGCTAATCTGAAAGGTGAAATCTCTTATAGTTTCTCCATCTGGTTCAAACCTTTATATTTATGGAGTTTCTAGAGATAAAAAATATTGTGGACTAGCCTTGGAAAATTCCTAAATAATCATGAACTCTGAACTCATTAGGTAGGAATGGAGCTATTGATCAAATAAACTTACTTTTTCCTTGTTTTACAACGTACTTCAGATTTGAAAACGCTAGATCTACCTTTGGTCTCTTAGGCAGGTGTGTTAAATTTTTCTTTGGTGTAGAAACTATTTGAACTTTCACATCAGTAGAAGTCGTTTTTAACAATAGATTATCCGTCGCCATCTTAGTTAATAACAAATTATGCAAAAAAAACGAACAAAATAACAATTTTCAGGTCACTTAGGCTCCGAATTCATTGGCCCAAAAAGTATATAACACGTACATTAACTGATGAACAAAACGTTAAATATATCAATTAGAACAAATTCCATAAATGATTTGATCAATTCTAAGCACCATCAAATACTGAACAATAAATGAATCAACAATCAAACCAGCTTTCGATTTCACAAATAAAGAAAACCTTTGCCTCTTGACTTTTGAGTTTGACACATCTAAACAAGGTTCAAGGTCCAAACCAGTGTTGCCGTGTTGATGAGAATTACTCATCATCTTGCATCAAACTCAAACCGTGTCTAATACAACGCTACCGGCAATTGTAGCAAAGTTCACTTGACATCACTGAACTCAAGTTCAGTGGTTCACATACTTAAGTCGGAATAAGGTAGGGATTTGCGGAGTGGTTCTAACTCCAGGTTCTGGATAGCTCAGGAGGCACACTTCATTCAAAGAAAAATAAAGGTACATCCTCAACTCATTGTTTTGTTGTTTTCAATAAACCATTTTTTGTTTTACGATTGTTTTTATCTGCCTTAAGTGATCCTCGATCTAATTTAGTCCTGGGCTTAGCGAGAACTTGATATACTGTTGTTGAAGTAACATATGAGTGATTGATTTTTGCTAGTGGATAAATGTATCTCGAAGACTTAATAAGTAACCGCTAACACCGCAATAGGCATTGTTTTCATACTTATATAATACTCAGTATAGAGATTAATTATTGCCCAACAAGTTTGCTGGATGTTGCTGAGTCGCCATGTGTATGATGTTTAAAATTCTCGTCAGTTGCAAGTCGATGTCAATTGTGAGACGAACAACCAATTCTTATTATATATGATTGTTTCGCTAACCAATTTAACATAATTTTGAAATGACCAAGTGTTTAGTCATCTCAAGGTATTGCTTCAGTTTCTGGAGTGTAGTTTTCACGTTTGATTCTTATGCTGGAGGTTCCAATTCCACTTATCAAATAAGGAAGTGATTTGATGGACGATTCTGAGAATAAATCCATATCCCAAAATGCTTCATTTTTATGGAATAAATTCAAACATTTCACATACAACCTGTTGTTGTTAATGTGGAACAGCTTTTTTTAAACACCACTTCCACACTATTTCTAGCCAGTTTTATGTGATAGTCCAAGAAATAAAAATCTATATATATTATGTTGTTTCATCTTCGTATTAAATAATGCTATTACAATTTCATCTTTCCACTTTGTTTATATTGTCATTACCTTCGTATATAAACTAACATTGTTTAGAAAAACCAGGTCTGCTGAAATTTGGTGTAATTGAAAAACAGTCTACCCTCAAGGCGTTTGATTTAGAGTGGGTTGTCTAACATATGCGTTAAATATTTTTTTAATTCATTATCTCTTCCAAATATTGAAAGTTTTTGCTTGAGTTGGCTGTCCTTGTTCATCTTCCACTGCATGAACCACTGTGCATGCTGTTTTCGGCGAGTGCATTGGCTTGGGATGTGGGGGTTGAGCAAACCGGCCATCGGATGCCTGCTTCCACGTAGCCTCGCTGGATACGGGAATGAGAGAATCACTTGTGTTTCTGTTATTCCCTAACTGAATGGCATCCCAACGATGGCTTAATCCTAAGGTGTGTGTATCCGTGCCGAGAGGATGAATGACACTGAGCCTATCAGCTGTCTCTACGGAACCTTCGAGATACCGGGCGCCCTATCGTCGTAGCATCGCCTTGTCACGGTAATGCGGGGATCTGCCGTCATTGACCTTCTTTCCCTAGGTACTCGTGGGACCTTTATGGACAGAGTAAACTTATAAATTCTTTCTGACGTTGAGTCTATAGAGGAGATGGATGTCGAGCTTACGACTCTAACTGACCTCCCTGTAAACTTTGATAAGAAGCGAGTCTACAGAGGAGATGGATGTCGAGTTTACGACTCCAACTGACCTCCCTGTAAATTTAGTTCACGAGCGAGTCTACAGAGGAGATGGATGTCGAGTTAACAACTCCAACTGACCTCCCTGTAAATTTATTTCAGGAGCGAGTCTACAGAGGAGATGGATGTCGAGTTTAGGACTCCAACGGACCTCACTGTAAATTTAGTTCAGGAGCGAGTCTACAGACGAGATGGATGTCAAGTTTACGACTCCAATTGACCTCCCTGTAAATTTAGTTCAGGAGCGAGAGCTGCGACGTACGCAGATTCTGTCTCAGGTGAGCAGGTTAGCAAACGTTTGCGCTCAAGTGAGGTTTCACCAAAACCAGAGGCGAAAACGCCCTGCACGGCTGAATCCAAGGCATCGTCAGGTGAAGGTTGTCGTGGGTATCAAGGTGGGAATCTTGCAACTTGAATACCCAACTACCTCATTAACAGAGCATATATTTTGTGCCTGCCCCGCTGGGGACCGAATCAGGTCTTTAGAGTTCGGCAAAGCCGAACTCTTAACATGTGACCTGAAAGACCACTCACCATACAAACTAATCCGCTTCGTTAAGAAGCTGGGTTTGTTTGGCCGAGTGAGAATAGGTGTGAGCCACAATAAACCCTTGCGGGTTGCGGTGGAGGGTCGAATAGACTCACTCACTTTGTACCTAACCTAACTTAACTCTTAAAACGTTTGATTTTAGAGTGGGTTGTCTAACCTACGCGTTAAATATTTTAATTCGTTACCTCTTCCAAATATTGAAAGTTTTTGCGCAGTTCCTACACAAACTATCGTTTCCTTTATATTTATATTTGACGGTATTTTCGCCGCAATCTGCATCGGTTCATTTGAGATGATTCAAGTCAAACAACCTTCGTGATTTCACAACTAGACTAGCGAACCGAATGTAGTAAATTATTATCAATAATTTACAGTAGTCTCCTGGTCATTTAGTTTTATGTAATTGTTTAGAACACAAGGTAAACTTGTATCTTCACATTTGTTATACCTATTCAAAAATCACAACTTTTTTTAATACTCTTTTAACTGGATGTGAAAAAATCATCCTAGTGTAGACACAGCCAAAACACCTCCCTTTCCTACACCCTGAAATTAATAGTCTTAATATTGAACTTTCTATAAGACGTTAGTTACTTACTTTTGGAACCTGACACATCAGAAAATCAAGTGAAAGTAATAATAATAATAATAATAATTTTTATTATCCTGTAAGACAATCAAAAAGGTACATTGTGTAGGATTAGTCAGAAAAGAGCTTAAAAGTATAACTAAAAATAAAACAATTTACTAAGAGTAAAGCATTAATTGAAATTTTCATTTTATTAATCAATCATTTCCTGAAGGAAGTAATAGGTTTTCTCTAGTAGAAAAGACTAAAGAAAGTAGTGCTCACACGGAAAGATAAAGTTATCCACCAAAAATCTCCAAATAATTTTTGGTTACCAACATTTAGATTTCGAGTAATTCTTTCATTACTGTCTTTTTTTTTCTCTTTGATTCGGCCGTTACTTGATGAAGATCCATAGTAATTTCAAAAACTACACCTCACGATTTGATCTCCACAAACTTCATTTGAAAAATATATCATAACATGTTTCGCTAGCACAGTAGCTTTGTCAATTGATTCAAATCACTTGACAAAGCTACTGTGCTAGCGGAACATGTTGTGATATATTTTTTAAATAAAGTTTGTGAAGATCAAATCTTGAGTAGTTTTTGAAACTTTCATTACTGGTTTCTGGATGGTCGTCTATTTCAATTGGACCTTTTTCCTCCATTTGGAGTGTTCCAAGTCAGTATGAGGTTTTTCAGCTCTGACCGTTTCTTTTTGTAAAGAACCGTTTCGCAATGGCCGCGATGAATATTGGCAAATATATGGTTGTTTGATAGAAATAAAATATACCTTGCAGAGTGTGAAAGATCGAAATCCACCAAGGTACATGCATGATTCAACAATGAGCAATGTGTTTTTCAGGATAAGCCCATGGTATGCTTAGTATGCAGCCAACAATGTGAAAATATCGGAAAGGTTTATAGAAACAGGATCTGAAAAATAACACCCTATAGAAAGTTCAATACTCTTCTATAGCCATTTCATGGACATTGTTAACAAAATGTTGTATGCCAAGTTTGTACTTGATAGCTTTAGAAATATATGAGGCATGTAAATTAGTTTAGGAAAATATCAAGTCAATTAAGTGGATTTATGAGACCCTTTACGAGCACCACATCCACCAACTCAACTAGCTCCATAATAGGTACTCACATATTTTTATTAGATTCATTATTTTCACATGTTTTATTGAAGTTTTGAAAGCATTTGATATGATAATTTCACAAGTTTCGAAATGAAAAAAAAAACAATAGAACGTGGTAAAATACTCTATAATTATCAATTTGTAACATCTTGCAATATTTCTTCATGTTCATTCATAATGTTGATTATATCAGGTTCAGTTTTCGCAGGAAGTAAATGTTTTATATGGGAAATTATAACTGATTTATCCAAAAATGTAATATTTTCTTTTTGCAATGCGTTAACACTCACACCGAGCTTGGAAGCTATCTGACTTGGCTGGTAAATCACATGAATACATTTTTGAATAAAGGGGACCAGTTCGTCGTAAAACGCCATGCATAATTTAGTGAAGGCATCTTTTGAAGAGGTTGTGAATGCTTGATGCTCCTGAGTGTATAATTTCAGCAGTGACTCTGATATGAATACTAAGGATTCCTGGAGATTCATCACCACGTCATTCACAATGGCTATGGGTGCACATAACCTCAAATTGTTCAAAGTAGTCAAGATATTATTCAAATACTCAGCCAATGGATAAAATTCCAGTAAACTATCAGGTGGTTGCATTTGATCTTCTTTATTTGTCTTCCATTGAATATTGGGGTGGTTTTTATCAATAAGGGTGAATTTGTCGATGTTCTTTGCAAAATTCCTGGAAGCATCTTCGACCGATTTAGTGAATTTTTTCTGAATAACTGAGGTGAACATAGGCACCATCATTGGTCTGAAATCACATCCCACTTTGCTGAAAGAAGAACCGAAATACATGCACTGGTCCATAATAGATTCAATAGAAGTTACCCCTTCTAGATCTTTGTCAAGGATTGTGAAGAATTCTGAAATCTTAAAAAGTACATAATTAAAATATATAGCAAGATTTGTTGGTTAGAAACATGCATACTCTTAAAACTGAGTATATTTTAGCTTTATTTCTTGATATAAGTTTACAAGAAGTACTGTTGTTTCGTTATGCACATATGTGCAAGCTTAAACCCAAATCTGTTTTAATACTCATACAACCGTTTACTTTAACGGGAGGGTTGTAGAGTTCAAATTCTAGATTATTGTTAACCAGAACTTATGAAACATCATATTTCACAAATTTTAGGTTTAAACTTCAATCTAGAGTTTGAACTGATCACAACTAGTTTTCACACTGAAAAAGTCTTAGAGATCATAATAAACATTATTGAAGGTTTTTCAAAAGGTTTTTTTTCTTTTTTTTTCATAATTATTCTTTGTAAGTTACAAAGAGAAAGTTCAGAATTTCATTAAGCAATATTTTAGAAAATATTGTCATCAATTTTTAATTTTTCAATTAGTATTAATTAGGTACAAAAATATCTACTACTACTTCATTTCAGAGACTACTCACCTTGTCTTTCACCCAACTGAACACAATAATATTCTGATTAATATTTTTATTCTCTGTGATATGCATCAACGGACTATGCTCATCATCATTAAAAATTGCTCTGTACTGTGTTAGTATATTGAACAATTTCACTCTTATAACTTCTATCTTTTTTGTTAAATGATGATCAACTGAAAAGAAAGCCGAGGTCAATAACAGAAAACGTTTTTGAAAAATATTTTGGTGAAATGAGTATCTAATTAAATCAACACATTTCTGCTGAGTTATTCTGCTCAAAAACTACAAAAGGGGCTACAGCCATAGTTGGCTACAATATACTAACATAGGAACAAATCTGATTGTCATGTCTACAAATCATTCAGTGCAAATAACGATTGATCTACAAAATTGGCAGAATAACCCCCGCAGGAATAGGGTCATTTTCTGAGTAAATGTTAATCCATTTTATTATCATTATATACAGGGCTATTCAAATTCGTTTCTGTACATGGGGATCTCGTAAACGATAAGAGATAGAGTGTCGATTAAATTGTGGCAAGTTGCGTATTTTAGAGACCTATTCTCGATGATGTAAAAAATCGAATATAGCTCTTTTCATTCTGGAGATATATAGAAAAAACCAAAAAATAACAAATTATTTTTTTGCCTATATAATGGACATATTGAAAATCTGTCCAAATTTTGCTATTGGCACTTGATGTGGATTAACAGAATATGTCGATGAATCTTTTATACAGAGTGTCATCTGACTTGAACCACCCCCATCTTTGAATTTTCAAATACGGACCTTTAAATACGAACACTATAATTGTAATGAAAATTGAAATGAAGTAATTTATATACACAAAAAAATTAATTGCGCAATAAATGTTCGAATTGGAGTCCTTCCATTTTGAGACAAATAATGGACCAATAAGATGGCCTGCAAGATCACCAGATCTTACTATTTTGGACTATTTTCTATGGGGGACATTGAAAAATAGGATTTACGTTGGCAGAGAGATAGAAAATGTGGAAAACTTGATATTGAAGATTTTGAATGATTTCGCAACAATGCAGCAAATAAGTGTATTAAGGGCAATAAATAATATGAAAAACCGACTTCAAAAATGTCTCGAAATGAAGGGACTCCAATTCGAACATTTATTCCGCCATTAATTTTTTTGTGTATATAAATTACTTCATTTCAATTTTCATTACAATTATAGTGTTCGTTTCGGATGTTATTATTGCTATCATTTCTTTTTCTGTTTATTAAAACAGAAGTTATAGGCAAAACATTACAGGTCGACTCTATCTATACATATTTTTGTAAAGCATTTGACAAGGTCAACCAAGATTTGCTTATCGCCAAACTGTTTTCGTTAGGTTTTTATGGACCAATTTTGCAATGGATCTTATCTGGTATAGTAAAAATAGGAGGCTTTGTATCAACCACAATTCATGTTCCTTCGGGTGTTCCTCAGGGTTCCCACTGTGGACCTTTGATATTCAACCTATTCATTAATGACCTAGCTACAATTATAAAACATAGTGAGGTACTGATTTTCGCTGATGACGTAAAAATATTCAAATTAATTTCTTCTACAAACGATGTCCCACTCTTATAAGAAGATCTGTCACAATTTTATGTCTGGTGTGTTATGAATCAAATGAATTTGAATATATCCAATTGTTTCTGCCAAACATTTTCTAGAATTATTCACCCTGTTCTACATGACTACAGTATCAATAATATACCAATTAATAGGAAATTAGTGATAAAGGACTTAGGAATTATGTTCGATCGTGAATTGAACTTCAAATCTCATAATGAGTACATTATAGCTAAATCACTCAAGATGTTGGGCTTCATCAATAGATCATGTGAGGAATTCAGTTTGAACACTCTCAAGTTATTATATCATTATGTGCACAAATTTCAATAGCATTTGTGCCTATGGTGATTTATTCTTCACTAACCTTCATAACATTATTAGAATTGCTAACATGCACTTGAAGTAGGTAATCAGAATTAGTTTTTCTTCATTTTATTTTTCGTTTATAGTTAGGTATTGTGAATGAAATTTTATATTGTCTTATAAATGGGTAACTGTTGAACAATAAAGCTATTATTATTATTATTATATCATTCATTAGTTAGATAATTATTGGAGTACGCTTCAATAATTTGGTGCCCATATTATGAGATACACATAAACCAAATTGAAGCTGTACAAAACATTTTCCTGAGGATCTATGCATACAAGTTAGGTCTAAGAAGGGGAGAATATGCATACAACAACATTACAGATAAGATGAATGTATTATCTTTAAAGAATAGAAGAATGCTTTTAGATGGATGTTTTTAAGCAAAATTTCAACTGGCAACATCAACTGTGAGGAGATTTTATCTTCAATTAATTTGAATGTCAACAGACAGACCAAAGTCAGTACCGAAACATTTAAAATACCGTTGCTCTCCACAAATTATGTTTTTTTCTCTCCTGTCACTCGAATGCTCACAAATGGGAATATGTATCAACAGGTTGATATCTTTAGCAGCTCCACAAATACCATCAAAATTGAACTGAATCGCATTATTTCCTGAAACATTTCCTTTGATTATTCTATTTCATCATTATATTGTTTTCTTTATACTATAGCATCATATTATTATTATTGTGCTATGTATTTATTATCTTTAGTTCAGTTTAAGATTTTACAAACTTTTTCTTCTTTTTTCTTCATGACAAAATTGTACTGTGATTTTATCTCTATATTATTGTATTGCGTTTTATAAATCATCATGCCCATTGAAAAATGACATTTATGTGAAGGTATGACATTTGTCAAACCAAAAAAAATCCATCAATGTTTAACTTTCTTTCGTCGATTTATATGTTCAATTCATTGTTGTTTACTCATTTTTACTGTAAGTATGAATTGAAATGTTATTCATTGGCAAAAAACCCACAACTCATGGATTCTTTTATTATTGTTTGTTTAGAACACTCAAGAAAGATGGATATACTTTCTCTTATAGAGCTGTCGAAAAAAAATAAGTAGGCAAGAAAAAATAAATTTGAGAAACTGCTTGGTTACCAACTGATGGTCAAATTACGGTCACATTTAAAATACCTTCTTGCTTTGGAATCTCCTTCAAACAATGGTTCAGCCAACAATTCCTCGACTGCAGAAACTTCCATCGTAATTCTGGCTCTGTAAATATTTCCATTCTTCTTAAAATACCAATTATTTGTAGACATTTTGGTAAAGAAACATCTTCTCTCAACTGGGAGAGAAGCTGATGTAACATTCGAAGCCATGCTTTATCGACATCAGCAGCAATATTCTGAAAATAATATCCTCGTAATAAAAAAAAAGTATTATTGATAGATAAAGTTGAATTTTTCATTCCAGACACTCTCACTCTCTGTCAATATATCTGGATGATCACAATATAAGGCAATTGTCAAAACAGTTGGATTTTATTCATGTGATTTCATATAAGCTTATGAATTTAAAATTTATTTGAAATGTTTCTCATGTGTATTATTTGATATCTGAAATAAATTAAGATTATGAAGTTATTTGGAAAAGAATAAATCGTAGTATGTCAAGTTCCTAAATTCTCATAATTTTCTAGAAAATCATTTACATTTCGTTAGTGGGAATATCATTGATAGATGTTTACTGAATATCTAGTTTCTTGAACATTTTTTATTGCTTCAAAGCACTAGTAGATTTAAAGGTTCTATTAATTTGGTATTCATAGAATGAAAATCTTCAAAAAATATTTAGAAATTGTGTTACAGCTCAACAAATATTCATATAATTTGTTATAACAAGTTTTCTTCAAAGAGGATGTTTATAGTACAAGTACTTGATTTGATTTAGATTAATATAATAATGTTTCAAGGACGGAAAAAATTTATAATTTCAAAATGTTATCAAACAATAATTTTTCATCGATTTATCATTATCATGTGTGTTATTATTCTGGCGAAATAAACTCACCGATTATCATGCCCTAATACTGTTTAACATTTCGTATCAGATTATTCAAACTATTTTGACAAAAGCCCATAGGCTCCATGATTTAGTACTTACACTGAAAATAGATATATCTGGATGCTTATGATGTAATTTTCTCACATAGGCAGCCAATTCTAAGACATATTCATAGAGTGGAAAAATTTATAAATTATTTCAAAATGTTATCAAATCAAACAATAATTTTTCATCGATTTATAAACTCACCGATTATCTTGCCCTAATACTGTTTAACATTTCGTATCAGATTATTCAAACTATTTTGACAAAAGCCCATAGGCTCCATGATTCAGTACTTACACTGAAAATAGATATATCTGGATGCTTATGATGTAATTTTCTAACATAGGCAGCCAATTCTAAGACATCTTCATAGAGTCCGTCACTTAAAAATGAGTTCATTAATTGTGGCAGTTCCAAGATTTCAAGAAGTTTTGCACTTTTGGCCAGAGTAGAAGTGTTCAATTTTCTCAAATCATTTATTCCACTTGATTTTTCCCCAAAATCAATACAATTTTTCTCAAATTTTGGTATATCCACCAAGAGCTGATCCACTTTATTTTCGATTGCATTAAAATGAAAGTAGAGCTCTTTTGAGCATTCAGCAGTTTCTATAAATGTTTTGTAATTTGTGACAGCTAATTCCTGAATTTGTTCTTTAAGAATTATGGCTTCATTCTTCAATCTATCAGGTTCCTTCAACAAATTTTCAACCTTGTACGTTCCTAGCTTTGATAAATATTCCTGAATATGACCATCATTCTCAAATTCATCTGAAATTATACAAAATTAATTGCAGCAATACTTTTCTATAATTAAGCCATAACTTTTATATAAGTGAAAAATTCCATTTGAAAATGTTTCATTGTTCAAACTGGACTAGATTAGACTATATATTCTGCGATCTGTGAAGTATTATGAAGACATGTTCTGGGACTGTTTTCAATGTATCTGTATCTGAAATTATAATATCAGAAATTTTATGCTGCTCAGTATTATAAAATAATAATAATGATAATATATAGAATGGTAAAATACACTTCAAAATAATTTCTTTTATTTTGAATTTGCTTTGAGAAGATATTAGGTGTTTATTGGAAAATATCCACATTTTATTTATATAAATGTATAGATATACTTACTGCTATGAGAACCATCTAGAAATAATTTTAATAAATTTTCAGTATCAGACATTATTTGTGCTTTAACTCTGAATTTTATTCAGAGATTTTTAAATGAAATTTCAACATAATTTCATCCAAATTTATATTTTTCTACTTTGACGTTCAAATAGTAAATAACTTTCCATAGGTATGACAAGTGACAAGTAAATAACCTGACCTCCAGACTTTTTCCTCTTCTTATAATCACATCTTAATATTTTTTTTCTGTGCAATTTGTTAGCCTCACAGCTAGGTAGCTATGTGGTTACTATGTTGTCACCGGGTTATTGTATATGGAATGAAATATCAAACTAAGTCACCTTCTAAACGGAACTTGAGAATAGAATGTAAGTAAGGTATAGGACGATGGAGGAAGTTTATTATGTCTCTGTGATATAAAATGACGAATTAGATGTGGAGAATATATAATTCAGTTACATCATTCAGAGTAAAGTAATTGGCTTCATCGTGAAGTAATATCACGTGATATTACATCACGGTGGAGCCAATTACCAAATAACAGGTAAGTAAATTTGATTGGAGATTTTGAATTATTTTTTATCCATGACATTCATTGTAAGCGCCACCGATTTTATTCCGGAATACTCATCCGTGCTAGTTTTGACCTATTGATTAGATTCGTGATAAGCACAGAATTGAAAAAAGTGACCTATATCCCTAGTGGAGTCTCTTTAGACTCCAGCATGAATATGATTCCTTATAATAGGTAGGTACTATATAGAATTCTCATGATTGCTGTTGGTGTAAAATTGACATTGTCATAAAAATGGTTTTGAAAAAATTATACGCGAATGTTGTAGAACTTCCAATAATATTAAGAAAAAAAATTAGTGAAGTTGTGCTGCTATTGTTTTAATCATATTAGACTATATTACAGATTGATAACAAGAAGTTTTATACAGCTATTTATGAATGTCGTGTTGCTGCCCACTTAACTTTTTGATAGCAAAGTGTAACGTTTCACTGATATGGCAATCTGATATCCCTACGATATAATTATATGAGTATGACAGAAGTACGTAGTCGGGACTTCTTGACATTTCAAAGCAATATTGCAATACTCATAGTCACTATATATGCTGTTGGAGACCAGAGTTAACAAGAAACAAGATGTTGAAACACTTTTACATAAACAAAGGCGATGACATCTCCTGTAATGAAGACGGCATCTATGGAATTGACAAAGAACTCAATCCTCGAAAATTAAAAATGAACGAGGCTTCCCAAGGTCAATTGCAAAGCCAATCTGCGATATCAACCGGCGACGAGATTCGTCCTCTGTCTTTCACTGCAAGGCAAATAATTGAAATGTACGGAGCCCAAACATAATGCATTTGTGATCGAATACCAAACAGCGTTGTTTCGACCTGCTATAGGCTTCATTAGTGGCTAATTAGGAACATTAGCTTTCAGTGATCTGTCATGAGAAGAAATCTTGGCAGTTCATTCATCGATATAGGTAAGGTAAAGTCCAAAGTGAATGGGTCTATTTGACCCTCCACCGCAACCTGCAAGGGTTTATTGTGACTCACACCCATTCACACTCGACCAAATAAACACAGCTTCTTAACGCAGCCGATTAGTTTTATGGTGAGTGGTCTTTCAGGTCAAATGGTAAGAATACGGCTCTGCCAAACTCTGAAAACCTGATTCGGTCCTCAGCTGAGCAGCCACAAAGTATGTGCTCTGCTGTTTCATCATTTTGCAAACAGAGATGACACAACTGTTTTACGACAATCCGAGCACAGCATTGGTCCGAGTCTCTGCATATGATGATTCAAATGACACTGACCTGTGAGAAAGCCTGTTAGACATCGTAGTTCATCCCTACTGTAGTCCAACAACTGTTTGGTGTCAAGCTTCGAAAGGTGAATAAACGCCTTGAAGGGAACCAATAGTGAAGGTCTGGAAAAAGTGTCGATTTTTTTCAGTATTCTACAGATGGCAGCGGGTGTATATAAGTTAAACTACAAGGAGCATAGTACCTACTACAACTTGTATAAACCAAAACAAACTATTAGATTTGTCATCTTTACGGTGACACACCCGTAAATATATTTATTTCATTTTGGTTTTAATGTATTCATTGAAGAATATACCCTTTTGTTGAATCCACGTTCAGTATACCTTAACTTCTACACCAACCATGTGTCACTAGGCTACTCATTAATACAATCACTTCAAAAATAATTTTCAGTTTCATGTCAAACGTTGAGGATAACAAAATGACAATCGAGAATGCCTCGTTATTTTTTATAGTTATCAAAGAGAAAAGAAATCTTTACATAGCTAATGAAAAAACATTAGACATATAGATTGAAAACAGTAAACATTTTGAAAGAACTGGTTGATATGGTTTTTGTTTCTGTCACCAGTACAAATTTTATTAAAAATACGTTACTCAGAAATCAGTGTTTCATTTATTTTATACTATCCATGATAATAATTATATAATTTCCACACTATAAATTTTATTCGAGACGGTAGTCAGTGGTAATATAAATTTAAACTCTTTGAAATGAAAATACATTTAATTCCTAAATTCTTTTTATTCTTATGAATGAACACTTTCAATGAGAATGATTATTGCAAATCGTTTTACAGTTTTCATGATTACACACAACCAAATGAAAAGATGATTTGGGTTGCAGCATGGACACAGCATGGAAATCTGGTAGGTGTAGAATTTAACCAATATCATTGGTATTAAAACAATTGATTGAAGTACAAGTTATGAGCTAAAATAACATTCAGATCCTTTTTGATATGATTATATTGAACTTACGTTTCCAAATTTCCATGTTGAATGATGTTCCCAATAAGATTATAAGTACTTCTTCTGAACGATGATTGTTTTTACACGATGAAACGTCGAACATTTAGAGAAAACGGCAGTGTTTAGTATAATTCAAGCCCATCTAAAATATGAATTTTCAAATATTTTTGGTTTGGACACTTGAGCATAATCTTAACTACATTTCTACACATTTACATTATCCTAGTTACTGGATTATTATAATAGATTACACACCACTTTGTTTCAACGAAAAAGTTTACAGAAATGTCTTAAATATATTTCCATTGGTCATTAACGATTTCACTACGTATAAAGTAAGATATCACAATAAAGGTACCGTATATTCCAGTCGTATTCATTTGAGTAACTGACATGTTAGATATAAAAATCGCATTTGATGAAAACTGAAGGCTCGCTATTTTGGACACTGGACGTCGAATAAACTCAATCTGTGATTGAAAACTCCATGCAACCGAATTATTTCCAGATAATTCCCCTGGAATTATATTTATCGTTTCTGTTGAAATTATTGATGACAGACTTATTGAAATTATCATACCATTACCACACTATATGTTGTCGAACAATATTGAGAATAAAAATTCAGTATGCTGAAGTTAAAATCGTAATTTTTCGAGAACGAGTGATTTTGTGTTTCCTGTTATTTTGAAGTAACTATCTTCAACTAAATGTTTTAATTATTCTCGAAATCAACATACAGAATGCTCATCGTTGAGTTGAATGTATTTAAACATTTTGAGTTATACATCATTCAGAAAATTCTTTGTGGTTTTCATTAGAAAAAAACAGAATACTCAGAAAAATATATCAGACACCGTGTAATTCAATTATATACAAGGTGTTAGAGATATAATTTGCCTAGTTCCAAAAGTTATCAGTACCTATTACGGAAAATTCTTTCTCAATGGAAAATTCTCCCAGTAGGATAATTTGAACGAATTTACAACAGAGAGGACGGAGAGAGTGTTTCCTTTTGTCGAAAGAAATTATTTCCATCATATAGAATTATCAGTGTTTGTAGTTTATAAGAAACTGCTAGAATCCCCTGAATTAATTCCTCAATAATTATTATTTTCAGCTTGTAAATCTGTCTCAAAACAACTCATGATTCCATCTGTGAACTTCTTTTTTATATCCTCAAGATGAACTACTAGCAATCTGAAATTGATCCCTATATAAACTTTCCAAGGAAAGTATACTATAATTACAATATATTATTTATATCATATTATATATTATTCGAATGTGGTATATTTACCAGCCTACATCGACTATCAAGACAGTATGAATTAGTTCAAAGATCAGATCGAAAAGAATGATTAATGAGCGAGGAAACTGACGGAGAAATAAATGGATACTTATGAAGTATAAATGAGGTACAGTGTTCAGTTCAAACTGTGTTTAGTGAGTTCTGTGGCTTTTCTCTATTCAAGACGAAAATTGTTTCCGTCGCCTTCGGCGGTAAATTCCCTCGTTAGTACATTTTAAACTAATACGAATTGGTATACTCAAAACAATGCGCCTTTAAAATCGCTGAATAAACTGACTCATTCAGTATTTTGACGTACATTTTTATTTCCATTAGTTCGGTGTGGTGGAGCAGTGGTTTGACCACCAATTCGTTTTTATATGAGTTCATTTTTGTGGTGAACCAACTCTCCTTCTCTCTCTAGGTTTTCGTGGCCTTCGCTTCCGTACGACGCATTTAGCCAAAGTGAGCCAACTCAATATATTTCCTATTTAAAAAATGAGGTTATGTTACATTTTTTATGTAATCAGTAAAATCACACATCACACCAAACCACAGAATAGTAAATATTCTACGACCAAACTGTACTTTCAATTTTGGTTGAAATGTAGTTGATTTTGATGAGAATGTCAACTGATATATCCACCAGTTCCCACTATAACCAGATCAGTTTGATGAGAATAAAAATGTAGCCTTACTTCGATCGTTTGTTAGTATTGTAAACTCTTCGCGGCAATCCCATACGGAATTTGAAATGTTAGGTCGCAATTATGAGTGAAATGTCAATTTCTCCAATGTTAAATAGTTATAATTATGTGTGTGTCTCAATTTTAAAATTTGGAATCGTGATTTCAAATTTGAGAATGGAATTACAAGTTTAATGTCAGAAATACCAGCAAAAGTTTTATAATTATTAAAGAATTTCTGGGATGTCTTCCTGACGTCTCGTGAGTAGCTAGCTTCTTCAGATGTTTATACATCCTGAGTTAATCTCTGATGACTGGATATTACGGCTGCGTAAATCGACGGCCTTCAAACACGAAAAATAGTGACACTGAAAACCTCAGCCGTTAAAGCGTTAACCATTATGTAACGATATGTTTTCTTTATCCTGATACGAAACATTAATTATAATCTAAAGTTATATCTCTGATACCCTGTGTATTCAATAAAAAAATTACCAGGTGTCATTATAATCTATAAAAAGAGATCATACTAGAGTATATACTTATGGTTTGTTCAAATTGTAAATAATTACATTGAAGTCTAATTGTTGAATATGAGTTTGGATTGATCGAGTTTACAAAATTCTTCTACATAACTCTGTTTATTAAGTTAATGGAGGTGACTGAAGTTGCTGTGGTGTAAATGAGAGAACATTAAAATAGAACTACACATGTGATGAACCACGAGATAAAGAAGATATAAAAGATAAAAAACCTAAAAGTAAAGAACTATTGTTTTGTACCGTTGATATCAGTTTCTTCATATAATCCACGAAAATGTCCATTAGCACATTTTGTTTATTCATCTACTCACATTTACTTACACTAACCTAGATTATTCAAAAATCGATTTCGAGTAGCGCTGTTGATTATCGGAATCAAATTTGGTTCCCTTATCTATTGAAAAAAATATAATATTAGACATATAGTTGGTAAACAAGTTATAAATATTCTTGATCGTGAACGATGGAGTACACAATTGAGTTTGCAAATATTGGACCTTGCTATATGGATTCGAAATGTTCGGCGATATCATATTTGTTTTTGATGTCTAAATGGAGTATCCGGCAATGGATATGCAAGAATCTTCCTCACATTTCATGCAGAATATTTATTTATTATTGAAATCTCATTGAGAATCTTGAATATTTTATGTTTATAAAATGAATTCAGCGTGAAATCAGCACCAATATTTTCCTTCACTTATCTTCAAATATGTCAATTTTGGTCATTCATGAAATTTATATTATGCCAAGAAAAAACAAAATGCATGGTGAAATGCTTCCGTATGGAATTCTCCAATGCTACTGTGATAGGTAATTACTCATACTAATATTCTTTTTCATATCTTTGAAACTATTTTATAATTGCTTGAATCCTTTTACTGATAAAGTATTGAATTACATAATGTTTTATACTTCTGAAGTAAAGGCTGTTTGAAAGATTTGAACAAAAAGTTTGATCAGTGTTCATGAATATAACCGTATCTTTAAAAACGTTTCAAAATTATTGGTAATATATTTGGCGCCATAGAATGTACTGGGTGTCAAAAACTGATACTACTCTTTAGATGCATTTTATTCAGATGAACTATGTTGTAGGGTATCGTTTGATATATTTTTTCAGTTAGTTATAAATTTCCTTCATTGTCTCTTGTTCGATTCCTAAATATTTGTGAGCTTTCTATTGAATTCTAGCTTCGTTGAACATAATTGGAATACAGTAACTGCATGACGTTAAATTTCTGAAGAAAATCCTTACATATTTTACACAATTTCAATTAATAATTTACAAAGTTTTGAAAAAATTTGAATGACCTTGTTTGCCCCAGTTGACTCGCATACGTAAGTATGCGTAAGTAAGTATGCAAACACTATTTCCGTCAATTAAACCAATAACCTAACTTTGAATTCTAACGGTCGTCTTTGTTAACATAACCTTTGGTAATACGTGATACATATCACATTACATATATCTTGTACTTTTAGGTTTGATGTGTACCACCAAATTCCATCGATTATATTAGAATAGCATAAAAAACTGAGGGTTATGTACAGTAATGTAGTGTTTTGTTGGAATTCACTACCAGAGATTGGAATATGCTTTTATTACATTTCATTAGTTCAGACTTCTATTGTCTAATATGACGATCTTGTGAGGGGTTGAGAAATGGAATGGAGACCCAAAAATCACTTTTACTTTGTGCCAATACCATCTTCGCCACTGCTTTATTACTTTCTTCCTATTTTTCACGTCGTACATGGAAGAAGATGTGTTCAGTAAAGAATACTGAATACATCCGAATGAGCCATGGTATAGTGAAACACATGTCGCGGGTTTGTAAATTGTTTAGCAAAAATCTCACAATAAAAGGTTACTCAAATGGGTACTTGATCACGAAAATGTTCTTTGTGGCTATTTTAAGCGTTCTCTCGGAAAGGTTTGAGTTTTTTTGAAACGATTATCAACACCAACTGTTCAGGCAGACTCTTCAAAAAACGCTAATAATCCCCTCTTCCTTAGGACCATAGACCTTTGATCTTTCAGGTTCCTCCAAGAACTTCAGAAATTTCTTATTGACATGGAAAACATACCTGCGAAACGAATAGTTTAGGATGTATAGTTCTTATGGGCTTCATTACAGAAACTATGTTCTTTTTCAACAGGTCTGATGACCCAACCTGCCGGATACTTAATGAGGATGGAAAAATTGTGTTCATTTTTTTGAAGCAATGTTTGATTTCCTTTGCATGCTTTCAGCAGTCATTGAATGAAAAATAATATCCTTTTCAGTTTCGCTTCTGTCATCGTTCCTTTTCTTGTCGTTTGTCAATTTTTCTTTTGCTGTTATTGAAAAAATTATGCCCTTTGAACTCCAATGCCGTTGTTAAACCTTCAGTTTCGGGTAATAAGTCTTTATTTGATTGTTTTGCTTGGTTTACGGCTTTCACCGTGGTCTTCTTTGGCTATAATCTCCAAATGTTTCAACTGAAACTGCGGCAGTCATCTTTAGTGGCGTGGTTGAAGTACTCTTCTTGACGTATCAACTGAAACGTCAAAAAGAGTACTTCAACCACGCCACTGGAGATGACTGCCGCAGTTGAAACGTTTGGAAATTATAATCAAAGAAGACCACAGTAAAACCTGAAAACCAAGCAAAACATTGACGCCAGCCGAGAAAGTCTACATTCTTATATCTATATTTTATTCATATATTCACGCCATATGAACATACGAATATTTCAGAACTTTCTTCTTAGGAATGAATCTCTTCAACATGAATTGAGTTTCAAAATTTTGAGGCAGTAGTGTATTCGATGTGATCCTGGGGCAGGCAAATATGAGGAATCCCAATATTGAACTGGTTTCACGCTCTTATACGTCTCAAGTCGGAGCTTTCATTGTGAAAATCTTATCTTTCCTCAATATATTTTCTGGAAACGAAAGTATGTTCAGAATTTTTTTTTCCAATCTGTATCTTCTTTATCTTTATCTTCATCTCTATGTTGAGGTTTTCCTCGCAGAAGTATCGGAGATAATGTTTCCTTCCAAGGAAGATATCATTACCATGACATAAACCCTTTTTGAAATTTCTCTTATAACAGTGGAGTTTTCGTCGCCATTTCCTATACTTCCTCTCAATTCTTTCTATTTTGTGTACTATACTTGCTTTGTGAAAAATCACTTTTTTTACTACAGTATTTTTCACGTCTTTGACGTTTTTTTGCCGACTTCTGCTTTGGATGACTTGCCTAAGTATTTCTTCAGTGTCCTTCCTCTTCTTCCTTCTCACCATTTATATAGGCGGTATTGCCACCTTTTCGAAAATTCATAACTACATGACTTTAGTTATCTCTTGCGCTTGTGTGGACTTGAATATGAAGGTAATTGTTGGCATTTCAATAGAAATGATACCTGCTCATGATGGATATTTCTTGAATATTGGCAAAATTGTTAATACTCCCTCCAGAGACTCGATATTTCATTATCGTACTAGAGTTTAGATAATTCAATAATAAATTTGGTGATATTGTAACTCTTGTATGTGTGCATGCTTCATATATCAAAATATGATTTTCAGACAAGTTGGCATAGACTCGAAGAACTAAAACCCAAGAGTTATTCCTAGACAATCTTTGGTCAAGACTTAATAAACGAGTCAATGGAAGTTTGACCTAAGCTGTCAATATACACGGTTAACACAATTAAAATAGTCAGAATAATGAAAATGTACTAGATTGTACTTCGGCGTAACAACGTAATAAAAACTTTCAATAGTAATAGATTTGTCGCGGAAGTAATGAAAGTTGTAACCCTGCTATAGTTGTTTTAGTATGGATTGAAAGAGGTATATTTTTAGGAGAGAAACATTTTTTAAAAAAGAAAGGTTTCGGTTTTCCACTTCTCCATCTTCATAGTATATATTTATCGATAATTAATAGTGCATAAACTCTCCGATGACATAAAACAAGTTTTGACATGGATGTAGAGACTTTGACAAACCACTTCGATTGTTCTTCGAAAATTTCCCATTTTGAATTCGTAAATATATCGGCACTGTCAAATATTTCGTTTTGTAGGTGATTTTGATTTGACTGTGACAAACTCTCTACCAATACTTAACTATACATTTGTGACACACATTGTTTTGTAGGTCGTGACATACTATTTATCTCAGTTGCATTTTGTACTATCAACAATAGATGGAGATGACCTGAATTATCATCTGAAAATGAAATTAACAAATGATACTTATCATTGATACGTTCCATATCTGATTTGTACTTACACACAAGCGTAGGAAGAGCAGTATGATAATTTCTAACAAACAGTTTCAATTCATCATCGTAGCTTCTTTGATTCATCTTTCAAAACTTTGATTTAGAATGACGTAGAATGAATTACAAAGTTTCTTCAAGCAGTTATAAGATTTAAATAAACATTAATTTTAATACACAACTACATTTGAGAATGTAGAGGATTTCTAGCTGAATTGGTATACTCATATGTCAGACCCTCAAATGATGTGAACAAGCAATCCCAATCGGTCAATACAAAATGGACTTTTTATCGAATTGTATGTAACTTGATATTCTCATAGAGAACGTCCAACTTTCGTGAATTTTTATCTGACTTGGCCGGATGCTCCCTGAAATGAAGTTCACCAAACAATTTCAGCGAACGAAGACAAATGAATTATTTGTTGTTTCTGGGCGTTACTTATCGATACAACCGAAGTGAAAAAATATCGATATGAATGTAACTATCAGACTTGGACACGACTTTGTTAATTATTTAAGAAATGCTCCCAATTTCGGCTCGTATTTCGACGGAAATACGACCTCAAAGACTCGATTCGTTCATTCAAGACGCGCTTTATAACTGGTTTTCCAAATTTCGGCCAATGTCACCGCTGAATGAAACCTGTGAAAAATGCAAAGAGGAAGTGTGAATCGCTGTATCATCGTCCACGCTAAAAATCCGTAGAATTCCAGCTGAACCGGGTTCTCTTGGACTTTTCTCATTTCGAATGTGTATATTATCCATATCGTAACGTTGCATATGAGCAGGAAAGTCACCACTTGACGTCCAGGTTTTGAACGATCGTGTACGGGAAGGTAAACGCGACGACGGGAGACGTCGGCAATGAAGAGCAGTTGAAGGACGACCTGAAAAATAATATTTCAAATGATACCAAGAATAGTCATGTTCCAAGTACGTGAATAACTCTCCAGCTTCATTTTCTATCGATGTCTTTTTTTTTTAATTTTCCGGGTCTGGACCGGACTCTATTAATTTTCATTTATCTTCACATCGACAAAAAACAATTGATTATTTTTTCCTGTCTGAAATTTCTACATCCTGAATAATACTCAAAAACTATTGTATCAATATTAGAATTGATTTAACTTACAGAACGTATGCATCTTTTGGAACTGTAATTTTGTGATACTGATTTTTTTATTGATTCTCCTGATATTATTACTATCGTCAACTGATCAAATCAAATATTGGATATTTACATTATCGCAAAAATGCCAATCTCTTTATGACGTGCCAATCTTAGTCAATGATCTCTGACATTTTTGCTTTTTTTTTAAGGACAAAACACAAGCACTACAGAAAAATCCTTAAGGCGCTCTGAGAGCGGTGCCATTCACGTTGGATTTGAATCAGTAGAGATTAAATTCATTTTGACAAACGTTCACAGAAAGTTCATTCCACATAAACGCAGTTCTCCGAATGAAATAGTTTTTATGCAGTGTAGTTCGAGTTGAACTGAGTTGAATCTTAGAACGATGAGCAGACACAGTCCGTCGCGTATTTCTGATATGTACCACTTTTGGTGGAATCATATGCGCCAAGTCATCTTACGTGAAAATATCTATGAGATAGTGACAAATCTCGAACCTTCCCTCGATGTTACGGACTATCAAGGTTGCAAGTGACGTTAGTGTCTCCAATCAGGCGGATGGTTTTTTTCAGGATGGAATCCAGCAGCTTCAGGGTATGCTTAGGGGCGAAGCTCCATACATGGGAACAATACTCTAAAGAAGGTCTGATCTGAGCTTTATAAAGCATCAACAGTTGCTGTGGTGTGTTCAGTTTTCTGGTCCGGAACAGTGTTCCAAGCTTCTGAAAAGCAGCCTTTGCAATTCCAGTGACATGATTGTGCCAAGACATATTGTGGTGTCCATTTTAACCCCCAACAAACTTATCGAAGTAGAAAGCGGAATTGTCTGTCCTGACATTATTATATCCGGTTCGGACACATTTTTCTTTTTGGGTGAAAACCGATGCCTGGGTTTTCGTGGCTTTGAATTGAACCTGGTTACTTTCACTCCAATTCGAAATCACCTCAAGATCCCCATTAAGATATGCAACCTCCTGCTGCCGGTGAAGATGTGAATTCGCAGTCGATTTACTGGAATCTAAATGGAATGACGAGACAACTGTGCTGTCGTCAGCAAAGCAATATATTGGATTCTTGTTTTTTTCCCAATGAGTCATTGATATACAATAAAAAGGAGGTTGAGACGATATGGATCCTTGGGGAACACCAGCGTTGATGGTAAAAGTATTCGAAAGATATTCATCGACGGCCACTTGAAGGGAACGTTCTTTCAGGAAGCTGGAGAGCCATACAGAAAAATGATCCGACAATCCATAGCATCAAAGTTTGGCCAGCAAACCCTCATGTCACACACGGTCAAAGGCTTTAGTAATATCAAGCGCAACAGCTATTTTGACTCTGCTTGTTTCTTTATTGCAAATTCCTCAGCTAGTCGGTTTACTTCTTCTATGGCTGTTGTTGCAATTGTGGATTTTGTAAAGTTTTGATTAACAGCTTCAAAAGGTGTCCTAGGTCGATATTATCATCACGTGTGGCTTCGTGTATCTAGCGAGAAGCTAGTTGGCTTTCAGTGGAAGATTCATTTTAGTCTCTGGTCTCATAGGAAAGTGTGCAGTTTCAGGTTTTTGGTTAGTTAGAAACATTGACCAATTTTTATGACAGATCTTTTATTTGTTTACTCTATTATTTGTAAGTTTTTATATAATTTTGAATTCTAAATGTAAACTCACATAAGTTTTAATTTACGTTAGGTTACGTACCTATCAATTTTTGGACATTTTACATTTACCCAATTTCTCCCATATTAGTTAAACAAGGCTTCGTCATATCAATATGATTACGTTGATGCAGCACTTTTCTCAATCACCAGAACTGAAATACTCTTCTCGAAGAAAACATCAGTTTGCTTGGTGAAATGCGTGTTGAGAAGAGTATTCCAGTTTTAGTGATCGGAAGAAGTGTTTGTTTTGGAGGAAACTGGTACCCAAACAAAGGAAAATAATACAACAACAACGTTGAACGCATGCAATCTATCAAGGAAAGTTTTGAGATTTCTGACGACACTGAAAAAAAAAACGAAAAACACACAAAACTTGCTGCGAAAGAAATTGAGGGTTTTCTACGACGAAGCATATGATAAATTACTGAACTTGACGGCAGAAAACTATGCAGAACGTATTAATAAAACTGTGCAGTTTTGATACTTCACTAATCTCGCTGAAAAATGGTTACTTATGGTCCAAATATCTAATGGTTAGGAAGACTTTGAAGGTAGCTAAAAAGATTCATTATCAGTTCTATATGAATAGATACTTCAATTTCATATTTTGTAATTTCATTAATGAAGATTATTTATGAGCTAATCAGAAACTGTTTTTTGTTTTTACACTCAGGAGGGCCATATAAAGACCCGGTTGTCTAGGCACTCCGGGCAGAGTATAAAGATCCGGGCATTAGATTTAGTATTGACTAGAAGACTGTAATTCCTGAAAATATATTTTTTTTGACTTTGGCAAGTACAGTCTCGGAGCTTGCCAATATTGAATCAATCTATTAATTTTTCATTCTGATAGCCATATTGTTGAATATAAAAACTTGTTTTGTACCGTATGCTACACTATACAAGTGGTATAGAAACATACCCATACACGATGATCTCCCAACACGTAGTAATGGCAACATCCATCAATTGAATAGATTAAGACTAATTTATAAAATCAATTGTTGAATTCTTCAGAAATTATAAACATAAATCATATTTAATAAAAGCACACATAGATCCAATATAGTTAATATAGTTGAAAGGTATTTTGAAGAATGACAATATTTTTATATGTATAACAGTTGACTATTTATTTCATATGTGATTTATTTTTATCGATTTCAGATACAGGGAATGACTGAATAGTTTTTAGGACAAACATGATATGTAACTGGAATTTTTTATGCGGAATAATGAACCTGCGTACTTATAAAAATTGTAGACTGGAGCAAAATGGCAAAGATGAAAATGCATGAATTAAATAGTAGTTTCTTCCATACTTTATAGATATATTGTTTTACGGACAATTCAATATATAACTTACTTGTAGAATGGCGAGAATTCCAGTTATCATTGCAAGCAAGTTTGCTTCCTCTGTAAACGCATTTAGATGGCCAGCAATCACACTGAAGACTGCGTAAATGAACAGTCCAAACGCAGAAATGCGTAGAAGTATATCGTTGAGTTCATTCTGTTCCTCTGTTTTGAATTTTAGCGACTGTATCCTGTAAAAGAATTGAATGAATAATGCCATAACCTATCTCATGAAGTAACCTATTTCATTCCTCCTTCTCTCACTCTTCTTCTAATAATTGGCCATTGCTTCCTTTTAGGTCGATTTGAAACAAGTTTTATCCCATTTCGCGAACATCGGTTTGCCACGGCCTGGGAACCGACGTGACGGAAAAGGATATAACGAAAGATGCAATGTGACTTGATCTCGTTGCATCCACCATCACGGTGGATGTGTAAAACATTATATAAGAATGGTAGATACATGAAAACCCTAGAATCACAATCAATAACAGTGCGTATGACTTGAAACCAAGACGATCGCATGAGTTGGTCGGAAAGCAAGGGCCATTGAGAGAGCAAAAATAAAAGGCTAAGCATTTAAGTATTATGGTGTAGCATTTTCTTACCTTATGAATCCGACGATGATGGCGATAATACTCAGCACCATGAGACCACAATGGGAAACTTCTGCTAGGTATATCGCTAGAATTCGGAAGGAATTATTCGATATCAACACGAAGAAAAGAATGAGGCATATCAACGATCCTACCAACATCAGCAAACCGAAGAAGAGACCTTTTGAGGCTCCAATACAGTCAACACGACCATGTTGGGCATGCGCTAGTGCTACTGCTCTACGTGACAGCATCAACTCAAGACGGTGTTCCAAATCTTCCTGGGTAGAATATCTAAAAAAAAATATAGATTGAAATCAAGTTGTACTACGATCGCTAATAGAATACGGTAAGATTTTGGATGGGCTGCACCTCCCGATTTTCAAAAAATAATTGGGTGTACTTATGTGTTTTGATCTGTAGATTACAAATCCAAAAGATTAAATCGGCGCTCTCCATTATTTTCAGAGTTACGGCCGTCCAAAGTTTCGAAAATTGCAATTTTTTTGCCTTCCTTTTGCACAATACAAACTATAGAAAACAAGTATTTATTTACCAAATCACCTTCATATTTTATTTCACCTTCTTTGATACTTTCTAGTTTGATAATCAACATTTTCCCTATAGAAACTTGATTCAACAATGGATTCGTTTTCTGATGACATCGCTCCATTTTAGGGTGACATTTCGGAAAAAAGCTGTTGGTACGTTTTATCTTCTTGTTTGTTCTTTTAACGGTTAGAACGTCTTAGTGCAGGTATTTGTTCTCTCCTTCGATTCGGAAATGCGTAGAAGGTAATATCCAGGTAATATCCTTTGTGATGGTGTTTCTCTAGGTTCATTGTTTTTAGAAATGTGTATTGTTTTGTGGAGTATATTGAATTTTAGGTCTTGTTGTGTTTTGATTTGTATTTGTTCCTCGATAAGTGAATTATGACCATTGAATTTATGGATGTTAAGGTTTTCCCAGATGTTCATACGGTTTCTTTTATTGACTTTGTTTTTTTTTGTATGGCGTGTGTTGCGAGGTTTGATTTACATGTTACTGGGTTTATGTATGCTTTTTTGTGCTCGTCGTACCTTTGGATCCATTTTTTTCTTGGTTTGGCCGAAATAGAATTTGTTGCAGTCCGAGCATTGTATGCTGTAACTCAGTTTAGGTTTTTGTCTTCATCTTTTTCATAGCTGTTTATTTTTTGTGTTATTTTCGTGTTCGGCTTGTAAGTGATATTAAGGTTCAAGGGTTTGAAGATGTTTGTTAATTTTTTGGTTTGGTCACCTTATGTATGTGAATGCAGTCCATGGTTGTGTTGTTTTATCTGTTGGAGTAGTTTGATTCTTGTTCCGTAGTTTTTGTTTGATTCTATTACAAACAATATTTTGTATTTTTCTGATTGATTCGGTCGTTACTAGATGAAGATCCATAGTTATTTCAAATAAAGTTTGTGGAGATCAAATCGTGAGGTGTAGTTTTTGAAAAAACATATTTTGTAAAAATAATTCGGAATTTTTATTTATTACTTTTTCAAAGCATTCGGTAGCTTATTAAAAAGTTTGATACATTTATAATGAATCGAATATTGCAAAATATTTGTTTTCATTTTCATTAACTTTACATTGTCTGAATATCTTGTCAAATGATGGTGTTATTCACCATCGAATTTGAAAGTCTGATTTGAATGAAAAAAGGTTGGTTGAGTAACAAGATCATTTTTTTCTTGAAAAAAACAATTTTTTTCTCGCCGACTTTTCGAATTTAATTAAATTCTTCTTCAGGACTCAAAAAGTAGTTTTTCCGTGTTGATAATATTACTATTTTAAAAACCATCAGACATATTTGATATATACTTAAATAAAAGTATATAACATTGCAACAACCAAATGTCCGAGACAACACCAACTGAAACACGGTAGCACCAGAAAACTGATGAAGCTACCGTGTAACAAAACGCATTTAAAATGAAATAATTTTTATCAAGTAACTGGTCAGAGTATTCATTATAAAGATTATCAACTTACCTGGGGTTCATTCCAATATGCTTCCACATGATGTAGATTACGGCAGCTCCGATGAGAGAATATTCAATTATGAACGGATATAGGTAAGGCCCAGACTCTTCAACTATCGATCCCATTATGTTAACTCTTCCACAGCTCTTTGATTCGTCTACTGTTCCATTCAGAGCCGTTAACGCTTGAGGAATTATGTAATCGAGCATATTAGTTTCGTTACTTGTTATTGCATTGCCAATTTCTTGACTGAGTTCGCCTCCTCCAACTGCAAAACATCAGATGAGTTTGAGTTTATCACAAAACAGTACTTAATAATTAATCTACATATAGGCTATTCAAATTTGAATCTCGTAAACGGTAAGAGAGTGAGTTAAATTGTGGCAAACGATACCAAAAAATCGACTCTGATTCTTTTAATTCCGAAGATATACGGCAAAATTCCGATACCTATCCCGATACCTATTTTTGGTTAATTCATCTTTATTCGCGAAAATATTGAATCTATTCGAACTTTTTCATGGAAATCATCAATTAGCTATTAGAAAATGTTCATGAGATTTTATACAGGATGCCGCCCGACTTGTGACATTTTCAATTTTGAAATACCTGCATTCTTAGTAGCAATTTTTTGATCGACACTGTACATAGGTACAATATTTTGAAACACTTGCTTTCTCCTCATTACCCGATGACGATTATGGATACTAACCATCGAAACGACGTGAAGTAACTTGGCTAGGAATCTTTTATTTTTTTAGATTTTATTTATTTTAGATTTTTGTTTAATTGTTCTATTTTTATTTGTATTTTATTTCTTTGTAATTTCATTTCAGGGTTTTTTTGCTTAATATAATTGTTATTTCCAGCTATTCTTTTTTGATTTTTCTTTTTATTGGTTCTTTCAGGGATTTCAAATCATTTTGTATAATATTAAACAATGGAAGTCCGAACTAATGGAATTCATCATGAAACATTATCAATGACCTTCAAACAAACATTAAATGAATTCTAATTTTTTTATTACATTTCTGATAATCTCACAAATAGAAACAATTTGTTTGGGAAAAAAACGCTTCAGCTAATTCTCCATCTTTAAACAGTGTCATCCCCAAAGTATGGCCCATATGGGAAACTTATTAAGGGTTTTTCGATAAAAGTTTGTGCATTCCCTGAAACTAACTAAACAATACAGTAAACACACGTAATATACGAGGAACCTTCAAATATTTGATTTTGAGACAAGAGTAAAGTACTCTTATTTTGAGAAATCTCAAGAAATGTTATTCGCAAAAGTTATTCAGCATTGAAAAATACATCTAGATTTGAAGTCATGTCCATCTGAGTGAAGTTTGATTTTTTTACCCATTTTTTCAAAATGAGAACTACGGAAAAATTTGTTAAAACGATAAATAGACAGCATCCTGTATACGTGTTCATTTTAAAAGCCTGTATTATTACGAATCACACAACTATGGTGTTAACCACGGTCAATTTTTTTGAAGAGTGAAATAGTTTTTCAAGTTTATGGTGCCAAGTTATTTTTATTTTTCGTCAACATCAAAAATTACTCAAAATTATACAGTATTGTAACAAGAACTCAATATTCAATAATATCAAATCACAAAACATCAAAATAAAATAGGTATTTTGGAACAAACTCATTGATTTTCTGGTGATTATTTTGGAGAATTATTTTGGACAAGAAAATCTCCAGAAAATTAATGTGTTTGTTTCGAAATACCTATTTTATTTTGATGTTTTGGGATTTGATATTATTGAATATTAAGTTCTAGTTACAATACTGTAGGTATAATTTTGAGTGCTTTTCGGTGTTGACAAAACATTAAAATAACTTTGCACCAAAAACTTTGAAAATTATTTTACTCTTCAAAAAAATTGGCCGTGGTCAACACCATAGTTTGTAATTCGTTATATTACAGGCTTTTAAAATGAATCGTCTTATAAATATATAGCATCCTATGCTATCTATTTATCGCTTTAAAAACTTTTTTTTTCGTAGTACCCATTCAAAAAAAATGGGTTAAAAAAGAAAACTTTGGTTGGATGTCCATGACTTCAAATCTAGATGTATTTTTTAATGCTGAGCAACTTTTGTAAATAACATTTTCCGAAATTTTCCAAAATAATTGTACTTTACTCTTGTCTCAAAATCAAATATTTGAAGGCTCCTCGTATATTACGTGTGTTTTACTGTATTTTGTTGGTGCATGTTTAGTTTTGGGGAATGCACAAACTTTTATCAAGAATAACTTTTTGTCGAAAAACCCTAATTAAATAAGTTTCCCATATGACGCCTACTTTGGGGATGACACTGTATATGAAATGAAATTTTTCGACGAGGAAACGTTTTTATCCAGAAAATATTTCTCTTTCAATTCAATCAATTTGTTTCTTCATGTACCACAGTTGATTGTCGAAAAATCATTGATAATTTGTAAAACGCTAAATAAACATTGATCTATAGACTATCACCTCTTGCGATATTTGATCAGGTCGAAAAAAAAAAACACCATGAATATGAATATAAATATATCAAGAAAAAATGAGCTAGTGTTGACTTCGACCTGTAAATGGATATAAGTTTCCTAATTAGTTGTGGCTGGTCGGTGGTTCAAGCCCCAGTCTGAACGATCGATTTTTCAATTACTATCGTCCAACCCGTGTAGAACCCGTAGGAATCACACGTCTGCAAACCACGGGTAAGAAACCGGAAAACAGCAAATGGTTTGTTAGATCTTACATTGATAATTATCGTTCTATCTATGTTTTGTGAAATAGGTTTTTGATATGGTCATATATTATAGCATATATATGGCAGTTTTCTGCTTTCACGATTCTATACCCAACAGCTCAGTTTAGATCTGCCATATATCTCATCAGTGGTCTAGTCGATCCAATGCAACTTTTGAACTTTTCTGTCTCCAACAAGAACACAGGTTTTAGACTCTGGTATCATGTACTTGCTTGTATAGTGTATAGTAAAAAGGAAGACATAAGGCGAACCTAGTTTGGTGATCGTTGTTGCAACAGACCGCCTTCGGGAACCTCATTCCATCATTGTTATTCATGGACTACGTCTTCTGTCAATTCCATAGATAACGTATTCGTAAGGGGAAGTGTCATCGCCATTACTTCATCTTTGAACTTCTTAAAGTAACTAGATATCTTTCATGCCGAAGACACTTATACTTTTCTTGATGGAGATACAGGAATCAATGATGATGGGGCAGCAGACTTTTTCACAGAATGTAGAGCTAATTCCTAGTAGGGAAACTTTTCAATGAACTACTTTCAAGAATTGACCAGGGAACTACTTATAGAGTTACTTATAAACTCTGCTCTTCAATTGAGACTGTTTTCTTATGAGGTTAATGCTGTCCCCGTTGTTAAGGAAATACATCTTTCAAACCTGTTTGCTAAGGAACCAAATCTATATTAATTGAAATCACTAGATATTGTATTAGGCGCGAGAGGATTATTTTATCATTTATCAGAACTCATGTGTCGTGGTATAGAGAGGCTTCAAAAGTGTTTTATTGTCTTACATTTTACCAGATGTGTATTTTGTGAACTATGAAACACAGGTCATTTCACCACTCTCATTCCTTGTACAATTAGTGGATACCCTCTATAACAATTTACTGCACGACATGACTACAGACTGGATTTTAGTGGATTCAAGAAGATGTAAGTAGAGTTGAGTATATATGTTGTTTGCTATCCATATTTTATGTACTGTTATTGGTATATCCGTAAATAAATTTGAAAACAAATTGTGAAGTCTAATAATGAATAGTATTGATTACAGGTAAAACTTACCACTCGCCATATCATTGGCTCCAAAGCTGTCAAAACTTCTAAAATCCAAGAAACTTCTAAGAGCGTTGTCGGTAGTGGTTGCTGTTGTGGTTGTGGTGGTAGGTGCAGTTGTAGTAGTTGTTGTACTAGGTGAGGTCAGTTCAGTTGTGATAGCTCTCCAGATGTTCGCCGTTGTAGTTTTTATATACTTTGCAGTTGTAGTCGTGGTTTCGGGAGTAGTAACTTCGATATTCCGAACGGGCTGAATATTTTTGGGCATCGTGAAAACATCTGTATGAGAATTGAATATATCGATATGAATTATTCATTAGGCAATTAAATGATACTATTAAGTGGAGTTCAATGAACGAAATACCAAGTATATCAATCGATTTTATATTGTGAGATTTCCACTAACAGTTTTACACAAACGCAAAACGTGTTTTGCTTTACAATAGCTCCTTCAGGCGTGTCTACAGAAAAATCATTTTACAAACTATGAATATAGTCAACCAAAGTTTGAGCCAAATCATCAGAACAGTGTTTTTCTAATATTTTTTCCAACAAATGCTAAACGCGGTTTTCCAAATCGACATTTGGTGAACAAAAGTTTTAAAAATCTTGTTCAAGGTTTCATTCAGTCGATAAAGATCCCTTCGTAACCAGTTTTTCTCAAATATCTTCCATGTACAAATAGCGATTAGTTACATTTTTATTATATCTATGTATTGATTCACCTAATTTTTTTTAATTTCATCATTTTCTTGAATATGAATATTTAGGTCCTAGTAATTATAACACTACATTTACTACTACCTACTATTATCATTATTTGCGCTGGTAAGGCCCTATCCGACGGAGCCCCAAGGCCGGGCGCGCCAGCATTATCAACCAATGAACATTATTATTATATGGAAAATTGAATAACTGATTCAGAACCCGTGGGTTGGGCTACCTATCGGGCGCGTCCGCAGGTGGCGGATAGGGGAACGGCCAGGGGACTGAAGTCCCTATCCGGAAAGCCAATGTGGCCTTACGGACGGGGTCGCTAGACTTCTGGTCAGTGGCAGAAATAAGTAGGGTGAGGGGAACTAAGAGCCCCCAAAAGCCTTTGCAAAACATGCCACCGTGGACCAGCCTACCCAAGCTAAGGTGTAAGGAATGGGGCCGACAGCTGAATGGCCAAATGGTGATATGCGGTCATGAACGATCCCCTTGGGGAACTGAGCGAAACCTCATTGTAATCACCCTACCTCTGGTAATGCGAGGCTCTGCCAGAGGTGACCAATTCTTCCCTTGCTACTCGTGGGAACACACATGAATGAAACAACACAAAACAGAAACAACAAAAACAAAAACCAATCCCGAGGCTGGACAGAAGTGCTCACCTCAATTTAAGGCGGTGGCTACGGATGAAGAGAAATGCCCACCCCAATCTACCGCTTGGAATGTGGCTGGACTTAGCAGATCACCTCCAACGGCAAAGGCACTTTTTGCGGCGATCATTAAGAGCTCTGCCTTGAATAAAGGAAAGAAACCGGCTGCCCCTACAGGAAAGCTCCCTCACTTGTGCACCTCCACGGAGGGAACCCCAAGAAGGTTGAAGAAGCCGCGCGAAGACAGGTTGCCAAAGAGAGTGTGTGTTCGGCGAGTCTTGGCATACACCTGCCAATATAAAGGAGATGTCTCCTAGTGACATGTTCACCTTCACGGAATGAACGATGACCTAGGAGGACAACTCCTCGGGAGGATGTACAATGGGTCACATGTGGTGTGAGTCTACACTCACCCTCCCTACTCTACAGATACCAGAGAACAGAACTGTTTCAGATTATTTCATTTAGCATTCGATTGATACCTTCACATATTGAACTTCATACACTTTTGAATACTTACAAGGAGTGCTTGTAGTAGGTCGCGAAGTAGTTGCAATCGTAGAAAATGATGTCGCTGCTGATTTAACTGATGTTTGGAAAGAGTTCTTCATCGTGCTAGCTGTCATCATTAGGTTTGAAACAGTAGATTTGATAACATCAGGTACTGCTCTATGAGTACCAAGTACCGTATTAGCGTTTCGCAGATTATGGAGTTTGATGCTGTCTGGAAAAAGTAATTTTTCTTCAGTGCAAGCATTTGATACCAATAATAACACCAATTATAACACTTCTCTAGTAAGAAAGATGAAAAAAATCCGAAAAACCATGAGAATTATAAAATGAATTATAAAAAATGATTTCAGAAATGTTTCTCTGAATTTTTCTTAGCCTGCTCGTACACATATCTTTGTTTGAGCCTTGGTATATTGATATTCATTTGTTTCAGGATACAAAGAGGTTAGAACCAAAAACAGTATACTCTAAAGATCACTTATATCTGATCTAGGAATCTGGACAAGAGATGAGTAGTTAGGTTTTTCCATTGATGACAGTTTTTTGGCAGTTCAATACCAAATTGTACGTTGCTCCGTGAGAACCAAATGTTTCCCTATGACTAGTGAAGTTAGTTTTTGCCAGTCTCTCCACACATGAATCAATGGCATAGATTTCCACCGTGAATAGTTTCGCATACAGTTTGCACAGACATTTTCATATTTTTTGTAAGACAGTTTTTTTGTGGGGGACTCAATACTTCTTACTGTTTTTTTTGGGTATACAACTTTCCAAAATCTATACAATAAACGAAGCTCAGTCAATAGAGAATCTGCTGAAGTGTAATGAAGGGCAAACTGAAAAGTTCACCCCGAAAAATCACTGCGTAATATAAACTACTGAAGAGTACCTACTCACACTTATACAGTGTCATCCCCAAAGTATGCATGTTTTTCGATAAAAAGTTATTTTTGATAAAAGTTTGTGCATTTCCTAAAACTAAACATGCACTAACAAAATACAGTAAAACACACGTAATATACGAGGAGCCTTCAAATATTTCATTTTTAGACAAGAGTAAAGTACTCCTATTTTGAAAAATCTTGGAAAATGTTATTTAGAAAAGTTGTTCAGCATTAGAAAATACATCTAGATTCGAAGTCATGACCATCTGAATGGAGTTTTATTGTTGTACCAATTTTATTTAAATGAAGAATACGAAAAAAAAATTGCTAAAACGATAAATGGACAGCATTCTGTAAACGACGGTTTATTTCACCGAAAATTACTCAAAATTATACAGTATTGTAACAAGAACTCAATATTCAATAATATCAAATTACAAAACATCAAAATGAAATAGGTATTTTGAAACAAAGTCATTGATTTTCTGAAGATTATTTTGGAGAATTATTTTGGACAAGAAAATCTTCGGAAACTCAATGAGTTTGTTCTGAAATACCTATTTCATTTTGATGTTTTGTGATTTGATAATATTGAATATTAAGTTTTTGTTACAATACAGTATAATTTTGAGTAATTTTCGGTGTTAACAAAAAATAAAAATAACTTTGCACCAAAAACTTTGAAAATTATTTTACTTTTCAAAAAAATTGACCGTGGTTAACACCATAACTGTGTAATTCGTAATATTCCAGGCTTTTGAAATAAACTGTCTATTTATCGTTTTAGCTAATTTTAAATTTCGTAGTCCTCATTTAAAAAAATTAGTAAAATAATTAAACTTCGCTCACATGGCTATGACTCCAAATCAACAGCAAGTTGACTGCAGACGCCCGTTTTGACTTTTGTGAACGCCCGTGTACGTGTAGTACAGTATTTCTTATGGGCGACTTGAGTTCGCTGGAACGCGACAGCAATTGTGTGGTCGATTCGACCGCAAAATGTGGCTCGTGTACGGGCTCCTTACTCTTGTCTCAAAATCAAATATTTGAAGGCTTCTCGTATATTACGCGTGTCTTACAGTATTTTGTTGGTGTATGTTTAGTTTTAGGAGATGCACAAACTTTTATCAAGAATAACATTTTGTCGAAAAACCCTTAATATATAAGTTTCCCATATTGTGCATACTTTGGGGATGACACTGTATAGGAATGTAGGCTTGCACAGCTGGCGTTGATGTTTTGGTTGTTTTACGGGTTTTGCCGTGGTCTTCTTTGGTTATAATCTCCAAACGTTTCGACTGCAACTGCATGAGTCATCTTGAGTGACGTGATCGAAGACTTTTCATGACGTGCCAACTTAAGTTTCAGTTGACACGTTCAGTTGACACTTTCAGTTGACAGGTTCAGTTGACACGTCAAGAAGAGTACTTCGACCACGCCACTGAAGATGACTGTCGCGGTTGCAGTTGAAACGTTTGGATATTATAATCAAAGATGACCAAGGTAAAACTTGGAAACCAACCAAAACAGTTATACTCGTGGTAATCATAAATTTTGCCTACAAATTGAAAAAATCAATTGAAAAAGTTAATTTTCTATACTTAGCTTCATTTAGGGGTCGACGTTTCGGTAAACAATCTTTTTTCGTTTTCAAAAACCCAAAATTCACTTTGAAACTATCCCCTCAAGCTGTAAATAGCTTTAATTCTTTTGATATACCTCAAATGAATGAAATATCCAGATGTTATATGCGATAGTTTACATGAATACGCATACTGGATGTTTTTTGAGAATTCGGTCAAGGTTCATATTTCCGTTTTGAACGGCAACCAGATACAATCTATATCCAAAGAGCTATTTTGAATACACTTGTTACTTCCTGATAGACTATATGCTTATTCTTTGAGTTTTCTAATTTTTTCATGAGTTTCTTCGGTGATGATATTCGTTTCACTTCATACTATAGCTGGATCATCAGATGATTTTAGAATATGCTACGCTACCTCTGATCCTGCCATCTATCTTCTCATATATTCACGATGTTTCATTTTTCTCACATCTAGGGATCTTGAGGTTTCACCTATATAACTTTTTACACAGGAACAAGGTATATTGTAAATACAATCTTCAATTTTTCATCCTTATTTCCAGGTATAGTTTGTGTCAAAAAAATCTCTAATAGTTGTTCTATACCCGATGCGTCTCTATTTACCTTACAAATCGGGAACATAAAATATGGTGTTAGTTGTGAGGTATATGTATTGTTGTTGGGTTTGTGATAATTGAGCAATCTCTTGATGTTCTGTATTATTTTTACCAACATCATCGAGAGCTCTTCTTACAAACTGTTCCAGATATATGTTTTGCTCCAAAACCGTCTCAATAATAGTTACTTTCTCTTTCAGATTATGCTATTTTTGCCCCATTATACAAACATCTAACCATACCTTTTTTGACGCTAGCGTGAGGATTAGATTTATAGTGTATGAGGTTATAGTATGAGGTTTCTTTCGATAAACACTCATATCAAAAGTATTTATCGATTTTTTTATGTTTACATCGAGGAAATGAAGTTGATTATGAATTTTCCTTTCTAACGTAGATACATTTTATCGTGGTGGTATAAATCATACCCTAAAGAAAATAAAGTCGGCCGCCACTGGTAGCCACAAACTAAATGTGACGTGACGAAGAGCGCGCTTAGTTCGACCGACATTTTGCGGATATTCCACCGACTTCGATGGAATTCCGGCGCATTTTCTACCGCCTTCGAATATGGTATATAAACGCTAGCCAGGAACATATCGGAACAGTCAACTGAAAGTTACAATGTGGTACTCGAAGCGATCTAGTAAGACGATAGACATTCGAATAACAGTTGAAGTTTTAGCTGAAGCGTTTGTTGTATTTAAAGTGAATTAAAGTCAAGTTTGATTATTGTTCAGTGTAGTCAATTATTGGTCAACCCCCAGGTAAAAACGTAACAGTGGGTTCTCTTAAATTATTTGAATCTGGGCTATGGTCCCAGATAGCGAATACAACATCAACATATATTCACCATACTTTTGGGCCAATTTGGTAACTGTCGATGAATATTACCTTAAAATGCTCCATTGAAATGTTACTCAGAATCGGTGACAAGGGTGAGCCCATTACCATTCCAAATTCTTGTTGATAAAAATCATCTTTGATGTGGAAAAAAGTGTTATGGGTACATGATTTCAGAAGCTCAAAAATAGCTCCTACATTCAGTTTTGTTATATTTTTTAGATTACTGTCATTTTCTAATTTAGTTTCTACAATTCCTAGCGTTTCATCAACCAGGATATTGGTGAACAAACTCACAACATCGAAACTCACCAGGAGATCTCAGTTTTTAATTTGTAATTCATTAAGTTTTTCAATGAACTAAGAAGTATCCTATATGAAACTGTGTCTAATTCCAGACATGGGTTTGGAAATTTGAAGAAATATCTCGCAAATAGAAAATAATATAGTTTCAACAGATATTCACCTGCAAAAGAAGACTCACTAGTGATGTTGGATGAATTGCTATTCTTCACATGATATTTTGTGATGTCTTTCAGATACTCTATCACTAATGTCCTGATCCATACACAAATGTTTGTCGCAACAACATGCATCAAACCAAATCGGGCAATTATCTTGAATCGGTGGATGTTGAGCTAGAAAAATAAATCATTTAATTATACTATAAGTAGTTATATGAATCAACCCAGTAGGAATTGTTCAAATTGAGACACTCACCCTAGAATTCATAAAAATGAAATACATCTGCATGAAAGTGAAGACCATCTGAAGAACCGGATTTACACCACGAAGAATCATGTAGCATGGCGAAGTGAAGGGAATTTCGAAAAATACTCCAAACTCCAATCCGTTGTAGATCATCGTTCCCAAACCGAAAGCTGAAAAATCGAAATAGAAGAAAAACTATAAATGACAATTCATGGCTTATAATTACAGCTGGATAGTGAACATATTTGATTATGGCATAATAGGAACGCTCGTGATGATAAAAATCATAAATGTATCCTGAATATAACGATTATTCAACAAATTATGTTCGGATTCATGCCATTGGCGTGTATTATAAATGAAATTATTAGTTTTTTTCATAAGTTTTGTCCGTTTTAATGTCATGTGTTTCTGTAGCTGTATTATCTCAATAAATATTCATTCTACTGGATCGTGATATACATATACTTATCGATAGAGAATTTGGTACTCTATTTGATTTTGTTTTTTTTTAATTTAAATATTTCGCGTCTTTTCAGCTGCTTATTACTATATTTAAAAGTTTGTTGAACCAGATTTCATGGATAGACAGTGACCAGATGATCTTACAAGACACGAAAATACAAATTTAGACTGATTACAATATAAATATCTAGGATATAGGACAGTCAACTACATACAACTTAAACTAATATAAATCTAGGATATTAATTATATAACTGTATAATTCAGTGTTTGAACTTATCAATAAAACCAATAATTTGTGAAATTATAAAACAACGATAAAAATAAAAACAACAATGAAAATTAATTGGCGCTCCGGGGCGACTTCATTGATTCCAGTGGCGCATTTGCCACCTGCAGCACCACATTATCTGAAGATCTTGATCTGCCAATGTCCTCTCTCTCATAAAACAAAATGTAGGGTTCTCCAGAGGCTCCAATAGATGCAATATATCGCCAGAACACTTCGTGACACGACTATCGTCAAACTTAAACCAGTCCGTTTCGTCTTTGACCAATGCGTAATAATGACCAAATTCAACGCCAGAACCACACAGTGAACAATGACTGCATAACTCACAAACTAATTTATTGTAGGACAGTCAACCCCATAAAACTTAAATTAACATAGGATGATTTCAAAGTCATTGCACGAAACATGTGGAATAATTATTCTAGAAACGAACATGTCCTCGAAATAATACACAAAGTAAATAACAACCGAGACTTTAAGATTAACGTGAATCCATTTTTCCTTAAATTAGTTTAATCATCTTCTTCCTCTCCTTCATCATTTTCCTCACCCTCTTCTTCTTCGGAGTCTTTGGGCCCCTCATCCTTTTTCTTTGGTCTGCCACGTTCACGCTCTGCTGCTTTTTAGGTTTGGGTTTTGCTACTGCCTTTTTTTTTTCACTGCAGATGCACCATCTTCTTCAACTTCTTTTGTTTCCTTTTTCGTCCTTTTCTTAGATTCTACTGCTTTGTCATTCTTTTCGGCTGCTGCTTTTTCGGCCACGTTTCGCCGGAGTAGGAGAAGCGTCATCAGACATTTTGTGCTAAAGTTTTTATATGATGTCGTTAAGCGATTTTCGGCAATTTTTTAATGTTTACGTGCATTATACAAGAAGCAGTGGGTGAAAATGAAAGATTTGTGTTTGGGGATGACTAAAACTGAACTGATACTTGTTGTTGATGAGTAGATGCAGTTTTCTAAGTTTGTTAACTTTTAACCATCCTGATTCTTGCATGGCTGAAGATATGTAGTCATATTTCCGGATACCAAACGAACGAAGACAACTATTCTGAATACAATGTAGACGAAGAGTATTCGATTGTTTTAAAGAAGGTCCATAAACACTGTCGCAATAAGAAATTTTTGACATGATCAGTGACTCGCATAGTCTCATTTTCAAGTTTGTGTTAAGCAAATCACGATTTGGAAACAGCTGCCTAAGGACGTTATAAGAAGTTTGGTTTAGATAGCTGACATGTTTAGTGAAGCGAACTTGTTCACAAACATGTTTACAAACTTTCAAAATTTAATTCCTAGCAGTATTTGCAGAACTTATTGGGGATATCCTAGAATAATGACACGATTGGGAAATCCACTTATTTCTTACGGATAGTGTGATGGTGGTCTCTAGTTCCTTGCACCTATCATTCAATCAAACTAAATCGAATTGGTAACAACGCTAGGGTTTCTATGCAAAACAAAAGTTATTCGGTGACATACCACGCTTCATTGAGAGAAAGTCAAATAATAACTCACCTATAGCTCCTATCCTAAGGAAAAAACTCCCGTGACTGTGGTCATTCTGGGTAGTCTTGCGCTTGCACTTGACTCTGGAGACGGTGCCGGCTTCAATATCTCCGCCGGCATTGTTGGCACCAGAAACCGAGTGAGGGGGAACCGCCTGAGGCTGAAGAACAGGAACGGATGGGATTTGTTCCTGCGATATAACAGTAGCTGCTTGAGTTTGAGACATTTCTTGTACAGGCACCGGCACGGCAGCCAGGCCGGCATCAACCACCCCTTCAGAGTTGCGTCGGTAAGTGCTCTACCCCCATAAAGCATATAAAAAGTGAGAATCCGATTGAAGTAATCTAGCGCGATTTGACAAATCAGGTACATAACAAAACAGCGATTTATGATAGGTTTCAGTAACTGTATTTGAATGAGAAACTGAAAAATTGTCGCTGAATAAAATGAGAGTGCTGATGAGTGGAAAATCAAAAGTCGATGTGATGATCCATGGTAAACGAATATGTGTGAACTGAATGATGAAGTAATACTGATACTGAAACCTGTAATTGACTTATGCAGTTGAATTAGTACTTTGAAGAGGAGTTAGTTCTTGTCATTACCCAAATATTCTTAAGAATAAAATGTTGCTGAGCTGATTGGTGATGATTTTTGAAACATTATGATTCAGGAGCAATTTGTCATAATTTGTCCACGAATAAATAATCAAAATGCCGAAAATCTTGAAAAATGCTTGTGGACAGGATTTCAAGATAGAAGGCCAAAACTAAACATTTCAAAGGGAAAAGAAATAAAAAATAGTTTTCTTGATAATCCAGGAGACCATAAATGATATGTATTTGGAATAAAATCATAAAACAAATATTCTTCTACCGATTCTGAGTATAATTTTCAATTTCTTGATTAATTTCGAATCCTAAAGAAAGTTGTGCATACAGGCTCACTGAGCAAGAGTTGTATTTTTCGTTTCTGTGAGAGAATACCTTAATAGATTGATGTAACAACAACGGTTTCTCAGAGCAATAATCAATGCTTTGATATGCTTTACAATACCTAGATGTCGCCCACTCCACGGTCCTTCTGAATAAAAAAAATTCTGGAGAACCACGAATTTAACGTGCGATTCAATATTCTGCGGAATACGAAATGCCACTCGAGTAGTTACAAAAGAAATTCCAAATTATTCTCATGAGATTTGTTTGAATTGGTCATGAATCATGAATTCATGATTTAGAACACCAGTGTTATCAGATTCAGTGAATGTTTCTAGTAGTGGTTGTTTTCAATATTTCTTTTCTCCACTTACGATTATTACTAGCGGATCTAAAACTCTGGTAGGGAAGCTGAAAAAAAACTGAATTTTCTATGATTCCTTTCAAACTTGTTGTTTTCTCTCAATTAATAGATAAAAATGGTGAAAATTATTTCGATTAATATGACTATACTCCGATGATGGAATTAGTTTGCTGTACCTTTAGGTAATGATGTCACTGAGAAAAGAAATCGACGATATATTCAAAATTCCATCTTAACAAAAATCATAGAGTAAGAAAGGTGCAAAAATTAATGAATCGAAAAACAGTAGATGGATATCATTTCCTTAAAGATTCTTGTAGATTCCTTCACGTTTTTGAACCCAATTTCCTTATTTCAGAGCCATAAGTTTTGAACTGTTCATCAGTTAAGTAGAAATTAGAGTCTTCCATCGACTAGTGTACTAGTCTAGTAATAGTGATTTCAATTATTTGTGATTGTTTATCAATCATGTTAGTACTACGACAGAATGTGTACACGTTAGTAGTTTCAAGTTAATTTCTCACGAAAATGTTTTTTAAATTATAATTCATTTCCAATACGTTGAACATTGACGAGTCATCCTGATTTCGTCCAGGTTTGGAGACCAGCTCCCCTACCCTTTTGGCTGATTATTGGCCTTGAGAGGGGCCAATGGGTACACAACTGATAGATGACGGTATGAAGTCCTTAGACATCAGTGCCGCCCTTCACGGGATACCCCTACCTGGCTGGGGTGGGATGGATGAAAAAGTTATTCATCCTTTAACGGGGGACATGAAATACGTTGAACATAGAGGAAATTCGCCTAATATGGGGGTAGTGCCTAATATGGGGTAGTTCAATTTTAAGTACTTGTTCCGACACCTATTGTGAACATTAAAAACTAACCACCGACTTCCTAGAAAGCGCTCATTCACGTTTTGGAGCAAACTCGTGTTGCGTTTAGATGATTTAATTTATGGTAATTTTGTGAATGAATAAAAATTGTTACATTTTAGATATTTAAGGAAATTTAAAGGTAAGTTTTCAAAAACTCAATAATATCATTCTATACAGAATTTGGCGTAGTTTATGAAGATGGTTTTGGTTTTTTTTAAAAAACGTCACAGTTTATTCACAAACATTCCCCTTTCAAAAATCTAATTTGCTCGTAATATGGGGTACCTATCAATTTCTAATTTGGGGTACCCCATATTGGGGGACTGTGTACTTTTCCGTATAAAACTAAAGTATTTTCTTTCAGATGCCTAAAAAATGAACAGTTTGGAACAAGGAACAAATTATTTCAGCAATTTTAGCTGTTCGGCAAGGCAAAATGATCAAGAAGAAGAGTGCGCAGACCCACGGTATACCTCAAGCGACCTTAGAAAGGTACGTAAAGATGAAGAGAGCGCCTGAAGACATTGTGAATTATTCTTTAGGACGATAGAGATCACAAACTGGCTTAAGCTCAACCCAGGACGTGTTGTATCAGTCTATCAGATGGGAGAACTTTTTGGGAAAGCCTATATAAGAGCGGCCCCCATGGATACAGCTATAAACGTGTTTAGAAAAACTGGAATGTTTTCCCCTGATAGAAACGCATTCAAAGAATATGATTTTGTGGTAGAAATGCAAGGAGCAGTTAATGAAGAAAGAGTAGAAACAAAAACAACGTATGAAGAAAAAGTAGAGGAAGACACAGTAGAGAAAGAACAATTAGATAACAACGAGCCAAAAGAAGAAATCCCTGAAAGACAAGTCACCCCTCTTAGACAGCAAACCGCTGAGAGACAGGTTACCCCTAAGAAACAGATTACCCCTGCAATCTTGATACAGAAATACTGTGCCTGTTCCAACTGCTTCAAAAGTTATTATTGAAAAAAAGGATCACAAAATGTGGAAAAGCTGCCATTGTAACTAGCACTCCATACAAAGAGGAATTAGAGGCCAGCATAGAAAACAGAAATTTATTTTCAAATTCGAGCGTCAAAAAAAAGATTAAGAATTCAAAACGAAGTCAGCAGAAAAAATTTAAACATACCCCAAAGAAAAAGAAACAGTCAGTTGCCTATAGAAAAGCAAACAAACGCAAGTTGGTATCCTGGAGTTCTTCTTCAGATTCGGACCAACAGGTAGAAAACTTTGAAGAAGATGCTATTTGTATTTTTTGCGAAAATCCGTACCTCGAAGATGTCAGAGGCGAAGAGTGGGTAATGTGTCAAAGCTGCTTCAAATGGGCTCATGTTGAATGTGCTAATTGTGAAAGAAATCCGTATAGTTTGAGTTGCAGGAGAAGTGCAGGGCGTACATCTCGACATCACCAAGTGAACAACATATTGAAACTAGCTATGTTGTCAGCGGATGTTCCTGCAATTCTGGAACCCTTAGGTACCAGTCGAGATGATGGTAAACGACCATTTAATTGATTACTTCCTTCCTTTCTTTGGAAGATTCCCTCATCCCTTTTTTTGTATCAAGATGGAGTAGTAGAAAGCCAAAAACCTTCTTTCCCAAAAATGTGTGTGAATGATATCTGATTTTTATTCCACAACAAATGTTTGAAATATAAACTGAGTAGAGAAAAGTATCTTGTGTATAATTCTGTGTTCATATAGAAGTATTTGTTAAGAAAGATTTTTTTCTTTCGTGTAATTCAATGTTTATATGAAAGTAGCCGTTTCAGGAGGACTTTCTTTCAGTTTGTGTCTGAAAGTTACTTCTTTGCATGATCTACACATTCATGTATAGAGTTACTTATTTTCAAATTGATTACTTCTTTCCTTTCTTTGGAAGATTCCCTCATCCCCTTTTTTTGTATCAAGATGGGGTAGTAGAAAGCCAAAAACTTTCTTTCCCAAAAATCAATCACTCTTGAAAATATAACCCATTCAATTCAAAATCCGTATATTTGTGACTTTTGCATTTCCAAATAGTTTGTTGTGTGTTCTTTCTAGATGACAATTTTTTTTATGTTCATAAGAGACGAAACTTTTCATTAGAAATACTTTTTGCATTTCCACTAATATATATTTCTAAAAAAAAACAAAATAATTTCACTTATTTTCAAATTTTACATATTAAATTAGGTACCCCATATTGCGAACATAGTGTATAGGATATCATGTGCCTCTAATATGGGGTATTGCACTTTTTTTTAAATTATGCATATTTTTATCTGCTGTTTTATTTGTTTCATAAGCTGGTATTTCTTTTTCCGTATTCTTCTTGATGATTGATGTTTCCATTATACCAGCACTTTCTCTCATGAGTGTACCCCTCTTATCAGGGCATTGCTTTCTTTTATTCCAGGGCTCCACCTCTTTACGAGCTCATTTCCTTTTCTGAAGTGGTTGCTAGTTTTTGTACATTTTCTATGGCTCTGTCAGGCGATATCTCTCGTTTATCCAAGTTTTAATAGCTCTACTCAGTAAATATTTATATGAGGTTGAAGCACTGCACGAAAAGGGAAATAAATCTTCAAGAAACCTTCATTGAGAAAAAATTCTTGGGCAATACATTTCATTATAAATAGGTACACTGATTGTTATGTGATGAAAATTAATGACACTATGCATGATAATACATATACAATTTTCCATTTGAATTTATCAAACTATTCTACAATGCCTTTTATATAACAGTAAATAGTTACAAAACGTAATCATATACCTACATGATTAATTCTGGTAAAACAGGTAGATTCTGAAAAGCAATTACAATGCAATATTACTTCTAGGAATTGATTCTTGGTATTTTATGAAAATAAGTTAGTGAATATCTTCTTGTTGGCCGTTTGAAAGGAAATTTGAATTTATACGTTTATTCGTTTCCAAAGTCGTTGTCCATGTTGGAATTGTGGTTGTTCTCTGAAAGGTGGCGGAATTGGTTCGCTTTAGTTCAAAACTTCTT